ATATTAAAAAAAACAAAGGTACATATACAGTGTTTAATAAGGACATGATGGAACATCGTAGGCTACCCTGTAGCTTTTCAACGAATAAATATATCATATATAAAGTTAATGATGTTGTTGATGACGACGTAATGATTGTGGTGATAATGGTGATCTGGGCCCTCTGGGAGAACAGTAACTTTTTATTGAAGAGGTACCGGTAACCCAGTATAAAGAATAAATAAATAAATAAATATATATATATTTTTTTTGCTAAAATTTAATTTATCTTATAAGAATTTAAAAAATATAATAATAAAGTTAATGATGTTGTTGATGACGACGTAATGATTGTGGTGATAATGGTGATTAAATGGTGATTATGGTGATGACCATGAAGATGAGAGGGACGATGATAATGATGATGGAGTATATAGAGATATCTTCAAACTTGTTGGTTTCTATATACCATGACACTTGGCTAGTTTTAAGTATGTGATTTAATAATGGAATGGAATTGACTCTCTTTATGCACAATAACGCTTTATGCGCAATAAGTTGGTATTCCTTCAGTGACGTCATGCAATATTTTTAATTTGATTACATTTCAACGATTTGAAGCAAAAATCACATAAACTCGTTTTAATTTAATGTATTTATTTACATTTTAGGCCAAACTCTGATTTTCGAAGAAAATTTCGATGACTTTAATTTGGACGTATGGGAACATGAAATGACAGCTGGTGGGGGCGGAGTAAGTCTTATTAGAATAAAACTGCGTGATGTTAATACATGTTGAGATAAGATATACTTTGAATCATTAGCACAACGTAGTGATATATAATAATTTGATTAATAAAAATAGGCCTAAGTAAACAAACAAAATATTTATCTAGAGTCTAAATCAGACCAATCAACGTGGGGCACCATACCCCGAAACCGTATGTACCCATCAGACATTAAAAATTGTAAGTTTAAATACTAACATTTAATTATTTCACTTATATCAGAACTGGGAGTTCCAGTACTATACAAACAACCGATCAAATAGCTACACGAAAAATGGAAACCTGTATATCAAACCGGTAAGTCCGCATAAATAAAGTTTAAAATATTCAGGATGGAAGGCTGTTTCTCTACCATCCATGAAGGACTATTCATATAGGCAAAATTTAAGCTGTTTAACAACCCCTTCAAAATGTAGAGATAAATGCGATGTGTTACAACTCGACCTCGATGAGCGTTTACGCTCGCACACGGCAGTTAACGGTTAGCAATATCCGGATTACAAACATACGTACGCGCTCACCCGAGCTTTGGAAATTCCCGATCGAAATACCAAGAAGATGAAAATCGGATCACTGGCCAATGGGAAACTGGAAACGGTTGATCATAGAAACGCGCTCAAATTGCTAACACATAGCGCTCGCTGACCAAGCCGTCGTCCCGGGCTGGGTAGGCCTAATAATAGAAAAGAAAGAGGGGAGAGAAAGAGAAAGAAGGAGAAAAGAAAAGGAAATGAAAAAGGAAAAGAAAAAGAGAAAAAAACAAAAACATTTTTTGCGCGCCCCGCGCGCATTTTTTTAAAGGGTTTTTAGGGTTAGCCTTTTAAGTTATTTTAACACATAATAATCCCAAACTCAAGAAAGAAAATTTAAGATATATCGTTTTACCTAAAAGAAGGGCCTCAATGTGTAATGATGGTGAAAGAATATGTTTGTAATGAATAAAGCCATAATGAAAATGCTTATATCCAGTTTTATGTGGCCTATATTATAAATAAGATAAGCCCTATGTCGTATTGTTTTTTATATGGGAGGGGTGAGGGTGGGGTGGGTATGATAAATTACTAACCGGGAAATGAGGATTGTATGTTAACCTGCCTTGGTGAAAAGAGAAAGAGCTAAAGAGTCAGTCTAAAGCCAGAAGCGTAGAGCACAGCGAAAGCGAATGGTTCACTACTTTTGCACGGTGCGCCAGCCCACTGCACCAAATAATTCCACATCAACGGAGTAACGTATTAACTTTAGATGATGTGGGAGAGGGAAAGGCTAAAATAAAAAGATCTAACTTGGTTACCACCGGCAATGAGGTGATTATTTCAGCTCTGAGTTTAACCACTATTAGGCCTCATGTAATTGAATTTGTTCAGCATTCCAGTGGAATCATTGGGAGGTTGTGTGTGAACTCGTACCCCACTCGCATTAAATATCCCGATGATTATCATTCACCCATAGGCCTACTGCTAATAAATATTAAGAACTATGTATTTTATATTGTTTTTCAGACATTGACGTCCGATAAATATGGAGAATCCTTCCTGTCATCTGGCGTACTTAGCTTGTGGGGTCAGTATGGTCTACGATGAAACGACGATATTGGTTAAGGGTGGTAAGGGTGGGGGAGTTGGACATAAGCCTATGTCAACACTAATGGGATGGTAATGGACTGGGAATACTTTTAAACAAACGTTTTATAAATATAGACTTTTGAAAGTAAATATAAGTTTATATCTATACATGAAGCAAATTATGTTATGCAATTATGTCGGTAGGCCTACTGACGGATTTTTTGGATGGTACCGGGTGGGGGTTGTGTCCCTTTCGCCACCACTGGGATAAATTTATTTTGATTTATTTTTCAATGGTGTTTACAATTAGGCGCTTCGCCTGCCGATATATGTACCGGGAATAAGTTCTGGGGATGCGAGCGAACAGGAAGTTCGAGTAACTACCTTAACCCAATCCAGTCTGCTCGTCTCAGAACCGTCAAATCATTTAGTTTCAAGTATGGACGAGTCGAAGTCTCGGCTAAGATGCCCACTGGCGATTGGCTGTGGCCTGGTAAGTATATATACCTGTAGTGTTCAGGCCTTTTATAAGAAATATCTTTGTACAGTATGTCCATTTGATAAATTACAATATCGCTGTTGCAGTGGCGGATCTGGGGAGTGGGTAAGGGGATCGATCCTGACCCCCTTTGGAAAAAAACAATTTAGAATTTTAGAGCTACCTTTGCAGGACCCGTGAGCTGAAATTGTTTTTTGTTACAATAGGGGAATTAGAAGCCGTGAAAGCTCACCCGCCATATAGGAATAAAGTTTTCCTAAGGGAGGGCATCGATCCCTCCCCCACCAAACTTTATTTTGGGGTTCATTGACTCATGTAAAACAGAATTCGTATGCAACTACTCAAGTTTTTTTCTGTATGTATTTAGACCGGCACACACATAATAGGCCTATTTAAGAATGAGAACAATTTACCTGACCATTTTTCAAGAGGGGTTACTTGAATTTTGAAGAACTCATAAACGTCATTAAAATACACATCAGAAATCGGGAAAGCTCATTTCCCACCATCTAGAAATCAAAATTTTCCCGGAGAATCCCCGGACTTTCCTTCCCCCCTCCCACCTTTCTCAATGGGGTCTAAAGATTCAGAATACGTGTGCAACTACTCAATTTTGAATTATGAATACACACATAATGTCTATTTACTGTAATAAGAATGACAAATTTTTCCTGGCCGTTTTCAAGAGGGAGAAGACCTTGATTTTTGAAGAATTTAGAAGTCCATAAAAGACACCTTAGAAGTCGGGAAAGCTCATTTCCCGCCATATAGAAATCAAAATTTTCACGGGGAGGACCCCCAGCCCCTCTTTATTTTTGGAGTTTCCTCTCTAAAATGTTAACCTAGATCCGACCCTGCTGTCGGTTTAGAAATACAGTAGACTAAATACGAATTATAGCCAGGTCTTTTGAATTATGTAAAATAAAAACCATCATTATGAATCAGTTGAATGTACTGTATATACATAACTATACTGTATTTCCGTGCGTTCCCTGACAATACATGTCATTTTAGAGTAGGCCTATAGGCCTAATAAAAGTGAGTTGTGCCTATCGATTTTATTGTTAATTGCTGTATACATTTATGCTATAATGAAATAAATTACCCTATATGAAATGATATATTAGGCCAAGAAAATAAAATTTTTGTGTTGACCACGTTTTGGGAAAATCCCCCAAAAAACGTCGGTAGTCGGTAGGAAAATTTATTTATTTTTTATACCAAAAATGTGTTTATGCCTAAAAATTAGAAAATAGGCCTACACAAAAATACAACAAAGACCATTTTAAAATCTATATATATAAAAAAAAAACGATCGCATAACACTGTCGCATCATCTACCGTCCAGCATGATAGTCTTATTCCAGTCTTTTCAGCTCATTAAAAAATAATTTTTCTTTGTAGTAAAAAAAATGAATAAAAAGCTGAAACTAATTTTCGTATATATTCTAAGTCGGTCGGCCGTGGCTAACACAATACAGTATATTTTTTTTATTTGGCCTTGTTGATGATTTTTTTTAAAATAACCATTGATTTTTTTAGCAATATGGTTGTTGCCAAAACACGAATACTATGGTGGTTGGCCGGCCTCTGGGGAAATTGACATGGTAGAGAGCAGAGGTGAGTTGGTTTGTCACGCACTTTGCACTTGGACTACCTGTATATTTGTATCACAACATGTTAATAGGCTTATATATAACAGGAGAAGTTATCTATGCACTAGTAACTTACTTTCAGAGATTTCCTGAATAAACAAAATCAAATTGGGAAATTATTGCATAAAGAAGTCATCAGTGCATAAACTTTTTTTTTTTTTCAATTCAAGTAACATTTATTTGATTCCTTTACTGGCTTTTGTCGGAAGTGGAAACGGATCGTGCATTAGTACTCTACACTCTACAGAATTGAAAATCACTGAAGGTCACACAATGATATAGTACGTGTTGGGAGAATGCGGGCTATGTATTAATTAATAGTACAGTATATTAATTGTCATTACTGATGATGAGAGTTGAGAGCAACGAGTACAAGAGCTCCAGATCTGTTTTCTGTTAAGCCTCGTCTTATTGATGGTAGGCACTTTCATTAACACAATTCTCTTTTAAGGAAACTTGTATTTGAAGGATGCATCTGGTCAAAACGTCGGTGTACAGCAAGTAGGATCTACCCTTCACTGGGGTCCATTCTGGCCTTACAACGCGTGGCCAAAGACCCATGCAACAAAGTAAGAGACATCGATTTTTTAAGTTCCAACTGATGATCATGAAATTGTGGTGGGAAAAAATGTTATTTATGGTTTGAATGTGGCATAATAACTCTTGTATTTGATGACATCAGCGTCAGTGTCACTAATTTAAGGAATTATTCTTCACGTTTATAGGAACCTCGACTCGGGAACCTTTGGATCAAAATTCCACAAATATGTCTTGGAGTGGACAGAAAATGGAATTAAGTGAGTAAAATCGATTGAAACATTAAAAATGCCCAAATATTAAGTAATAATAATTCAATTGCTGTTAAAATCGCAAAATTCTGAGCTGTTTATGGTGATTTGGTTGTAATACAGCATGTATAAACCTAACCTACATCTTGCATGCTCGCTGAATAATGACAACAATATATTCAATGCATGGAGCGGTGATGAGTTAAAATCATACACAGCCAATATAAAGTACTAATTAATTACACCTATTCTGTTAAAAATAGATGTTCCATCGATGATGACTTGATTTTGAGCGTCAATCCGCCAAATGGATTCTGGGATTATGGGAACTTCGCAAAAGAAGCCCCAGGAGTTGAAAATCCCTGGGAGCACGGAAGTAGATTGGCTCCTTTTGACAAAGAGGTAACTGACAATATATTTCAAACTTGTCTTGGAACCAAGTTCATGCAAATAAATTGTTTTATGCAATAAGTATGGAGCGGTGATGAGTTAAAATCATACACAGCCAATATAAAGTACATATAAGAAAAAGTCAAATAAATTGTGAAGTTCAATGTTATAGATAACGTACCAGTATGTTGTGATTTCAAAAACTCTTACTGTTAAGTTGGCTTGCAGTGCTGTTGTGTCTTCACGTGATTATTATACAGTTTTCACTCGCATTAATTTTACTATGTTGCCAATGTATCCAAGAAATGAGTAAGTAAGTAGGCCTACTCTCAAGCAAACCTAATCTAATAACCGAGATTACAATCCAATTCCGTAATTTTTTTTCTAGTTTTACCTCATTATGAACGTTGCTGTGGGAGGCACTGCTTATTTCAGCGATTCGTTTACTAATTCTCCTGATCCAAAACCATGGCTTAACAACTCACCAACTGCAGCAAAGGACTTCTGGCTGGGCAAGAACAGCTGGTACCCTACATGGAAAGGCGAAGACGCTGCCATGCAGGTGGACTATGTCAAAGTCTGGCAATATTAGATGCTGGCATTTTGGAATCAAGCAAGAAATTTTTCAGATACTTAATTGGCAAAATTTTGCTTGACCTAATATTAGTGCTACAGTAAATAATAAATTTATCTCTCAACTAAAAATCTGACTTACTTAAACTGAATAAATTTAAATTATAAGTTCCTTAAGTTAATCACAATCTCATTGTACTCAAGAAGAGACTTATAGGTAACAAAGGGTACAAGTCTCTGTACAAAGTGCCTTATCAGAATAACTGAAGTTGTTATTAAGTACTGTTCATGTTAATAATTTAATTAAAAAATAAGTTCAATCAGATAAATTAAATTAATAAATACATGCAGTGAAATGAACGAATGTCTGAGACTAAACATTTTGCGTCACAACGACTAAACCCTAAGACAGATTCTGAGGCCATCCTACGTTGTCTTGTAGATTTGGTCAAACATCGTGATGACATCGACACATAAAAAGTGACTTAATGTGACATCATTCATTCATTGTACCACCATTATGCAATTCATTTGAAAAAAAAAATAGATGGGCAGGTGTGGCTGGGTCCACATTGAATCCGCTACTATGGAGAATACTTGTTACAATCATAATTTTTAAATGTTTAAAACAATGACAAATTTTTGACTAGTGTACAGTCAACTTGGGCGACGCTGACTGGGAAAATATAAATTTAAAAAAAGAAGCTTGTACATCCCACCCACTCGTATAAAGGCTCGAACGAATTAAAAAATCAAGAAGCAACTAGCCTAGCCTAGCCTAGCCCGGTCTGGCCTAGCCTAGCCTTAGTCATTTTAAATATTTTGTTTATTAACTGGTACGTCTTGTTAATGTGAGGTACTTTCCTGCCAAATTTTCATTATCTTTCGTGGACAGATTGGTGACAGTGCAAACTTGAGACTTGATTCTAGGTTTTGGGTTGACAATAATTTCTAGATTTCGTCTTTGTAGCTATTCGCCTGGGTGTATCTCCTAAGTTGAGTCCTTTGTAGGACTGGCCGCTGCTATACAGAATTAATTTGCACTATGTTTCGAGATGCGCTTTACCAAATTTTTTTGTCAGAAAGCAATCTCGCGACCCTTAGGAATGTGTTGGTGACCCAAATTTGGGTTGCGACCCATAAGGTTGAAAAGTAGGGCTCTAAACCATATTTTGAGAAATCTGTAAGTGTGAAAAATAATTTTCCCCAACTGGTAATCGAACCTGGTACCTTCTGCTGTCTATGTAGATGCCTTAACTAAACTGTGAATCAATCTTAACACCAAAACATACAGAAATTCAGAAAATGTTTCACTTTAATCATGTAAATCAGACATTCCACATGCTATTCTGGAGTTACATTAATATATCTTTTAAATATCAAATTATTTTTTTTCAATTTGCTATTGAAAACAACCATACGTGGTACCTTGCATTCCATTAAATTCTATCAATAAATCAGTCAATCACATTTATCAATTTTTCAGTCACACAAAATTATATTTAAAGACCAATACATGCAATAATGTTACAAAAGGTTTTAGTGTTTTTTATTTTTGGTTTCTTAATACTGTATATTGATTTTAATGAGTTTGTACTAAGTTTTTTCAGAATATTTGACTTTTCTTAGCGCCTGTGATCATTCTACAGTATATGGATATTTGTTGCACTTTATAAGATAACATTATTATTAATTAATTAATTTAATTGCAATAATGAATACTAATTATTGCATAATTTACTAAATAAATACTGTACAGCTAAATTTACACTCACAGAAGTTTTGGCAACTGTTTCAAACGATTAACATCCAAGATATTTTTAACACCATCTTCTACTTTTGCTCCACGTCCTGTTTCTGGTTCTGCTTTGTTTGTTATAGTTTGAAGTGGTGTCCTTGGTGAACCTGCATTTCCAATGTTCCAGGAAACATTCTTAGGATGTACACTTTCCAAATCTCGCTTACGATTATCAAATACAAGGATTGGTTTGGGTGTAGTTGGAATTTGATTTATTTGGCTCTCATTACCCTGAGTAAACATAAATGGCTCAACCATACTACCTTGTCCCATGAAGGAATAATCAACATCTTCACTCGATGACTCCTCTCGCTTCCGTTTATTCTTTAAAATCTTGTTTTCTTTAGGTTTCTGTTTTACCTTTTTTCTTCCTTTTCCTTTACTTACTTTCCTATTCAGGTTCATTGATGTATCAAGCAGACCATGTTTTTCCAAGTATTTCATACTTGCCATTGACATGTTGACACCACCCCCTGTACTTATATCCACCCCTCTTTTATCAGATAACTTATTCAAAATTGCTGTTCGAGCACTCGGATCCTTAGTGGTCTTGAACGATTCAGACATAGCAGCGAGTTGCTGGTCACTCAGATACTTCATGGCTATGGCATTGGCTTCCATGCTTAGGTTACTACTGTCCATTGACATGTCTATTATGGAGTGATAGTTGATCTTGGGAAAGACATCCATTGACAAATACATACTATCTCTGAAATACACCAAAACAATAATAAAAATTAAATACATACATTGATATTTATTTTATGAGGAGTGAGATTGGTGGAACAAGGGGGAAAATTTTGGTTATGTCAGGATGAGGAAAAGGATCTTTTCCAACACTGTAGAAATCTCCAAAACTCTTCCTCAAAACACTCAGTTTTGCCAACCATAAGATAAGATTTATTGCTTCTCTATTGTATAACCGAGGAACACTTTTGCGCAGGAGAGGTTCGACCCGTGCAACACTCACAACATTGCAATAAAAATTTCAAAATAAATTATTGAAAAATATAACTAAAAGTAACAGACAACAAAAATCTTCAACAATTCATCCATCTTTTACTCTAATCTTTAGTCCAACACCTCATCTGTCAGGATCGGCTACCATCATCTTTAGAGTCCATTCAATCCATCCCTTCCTTTCTCAGAATGCTGCTATCTTTCTTGTTCATGTGTTTATCTCTCAAAAAAACTGTTTAACTAAACTGCTTGTAATGTCAATGACTTGTACCTTTTCTTGTTCTTTCCCACCTAAAACATTCATTTTATTTATTGCACCAATGTTGTTTAATGATTCTGTTTTATGTATTTATATGGAACACATTATGATGATGGATTTATTAGCATATTTCTATTTTTTGTAAAGAGCAAGTGACAAAACAGTGTTTTTAACCAAATTTAGTTAACAATAATAAATAACATACCCAGATTTCAGCTCATCCTCATTCTCCTCCTCTTCTTCATCCTCCTTCTCCTCTTCTTCATCTTCATCAACCTCACTTTCAGATTGATTTTTCTGCTCAAATTTTTCTTGTACTAAGGTTGCATGAAGTTCTGTATCTTGTTTTGATTGGGTGGTATTCATCTCTGTTGGCTCGCTTCCCTGCAGTATCTGCTTTACTTTACCCTGGAGTACATTGCACAAAAATAAATAAAGCTATCACTTCAACATATTAACTTAATATATACATGTCTTACCATATCTATTATAGAGGGTGACCATTCCAACATATCCTTGAAAGTCAGCTGATATTCATGGGCACTCTTAAATAAATAAACATGCTGGTTTATCAGCAAAATCACATTACGAGGCTTAGGGAATGAATTTGTACCTATGACCCTGGGATTGGAAGGCAAATATTTTAAACACCAAGCTACATCTCCACTACCTATTCCACTAAAATATCTAAAAAACCTACCAGTAAATCATCATAAAATCTAGCTTCATCCTTGTAGAGTAAACTATCAGCTTGACGGATTATGCTGCCCTCTATGAAGGCATTTGGCCTCCGGACCAGCATGCTGGCACTTTCACCAAGCAAAGGACTTGTGATGCTGTCGGTCAGATTCTCAACGTGTCTGTCAAGTAAAAGATAACATACAATATTAATGTATAACTACAGCAATGAATAAAAAAATGATAGAGTAGTAAATTTGAAACTGAACTTTCTCTTAAACAACGGTTTATTGTGCCCCGACGTCCGGGTATGATTCCAAAACATACTAATACAGACAATCCAGATGACAGCATTGTCCTGGATAAAACAAAGATTTTAACCATAGAAACGTCCAGACATCCTGATGACGTCAGCATGAAAAAGACAACAGTAGTGGATGAAAGCTTGCTCAGTTTTTAAAATTAAAGTTTTTAAGTGTAAGGATTATATATAATTTAACATCCTGGACATAAAAATCTTCATCAAACTATATGAGGCTTTCCATCCCAAAACCAGCGTACTGTCACTATATGTTAAATTGAGTAATCAGCATAAGAATGTAGAAGTATTATAGACTTTATTACTCATAACTTTAAAAATAGTAAGTCGATTCTAGTAAATGACCCATCTTTTTAAAGCTTATAAAGTGGAGAATATTAAATTAAAAGTCACTGATGCTGGTTTTGGGATGGCAAGCCTCTTATAATGATAATGAAGTAATGGTGAATGGAGAAAAAAATATTGTACCTCTGTGGTGTGGTAACATGTTCATCATTAAAATTTGGTAAATCAACAGCAGTAAGTGAAGATGCAAAACTCCTGGTATCATTTTGAAGCTGCGGATCAGGCAGAGTATCATCAAGGTCTGTGACGCTGCTTTCTCTTGCTGATAAACCATCTTGATTCTTGATGCTCTCTGCCATTTCAATCTGATGATCTATTGCACAGTTTGATCCAGAGGTCTGAATTTTCTCTAATGGTACACTATTTCCTTCTTTAGTTACACCTTGATTTGTTGCTGTTAAAGGGGTTTTGTTAGCTTTTGGTTCATCTTTAGACTGGTTATGCTCAAGTGCTCCCTTACCCAATTGACTTGGAACATCATCATCATTAGCCAAGTAAAGGCTAGCCCCAGTGTTCACAGATATATTACACACTGTTTTATTTTCTGCTGAAGGCAACATATCTGGTTTTGCTGCAGTCTGTATTTTCTGGTCATAAAGTTGATGTACTGGTGTTGCTGGTGGTGTTAAAGGAGCTGGAATCTGGGGAGCTTGAGCCAATAACAATCTCTGAACCTAAGAAAACAATCATAGATATCGCATTTGTCAGACAGCAATATAAAATTATATCATTTCTACAGACAGATAGGACAGGATTGTTATCAGTTGAGAAACATCACTGAAGTATATTTTTGTTGGTAAAACGGTAAACATATTGCTACAATGCATGGTTAAGGTATCAACTGTTTAACAGCTTGGAAAGGGATTTTATGAAAAATAAAAAAACAACTAAACAGATTACAAATTACAAATTACAGGCCGGTGAGCTTGGACAACACAAATGTTTTTGCCATTATATTCAAGTAAAAGTTTTGGCAGATTTTCTATTGTAACAATTAATTACAGATTCGATATTGTTAAATATATTGCAGTAAATAAATATAAGTTACAGACCTGAGCCTGCAGATCTTTGATCAACTCATCTTGTCTTTTCAACTGTTGCAGAGTATGTTCATCAGGACCAGGTCGGCTAGCTGACTGATTACTTAAACATGATGCATCTTGACTAGCTGGGTGGTTTTCATTCAGATGGTGTGATCCATAACTTTCTGTTGAATGATGTTGGCAGGATGCTGAGCCAGAACAATCTCTGGCATCATTCTGCTGTACTGGCGATAGCATACTTTGTTTTGGGTGCTGGTGTAAACCTCTTTGATATTCTGACAAAGGTGCACTATTTTGGACTCCTTTATAATCTTCATCATGACTACGGTAGTGGTTTCCAGTAGTTGCTGGTGTAGAATGACTTGGCCATGTTAGTGGCTGATGACTACCTGCTGGATTCCTGCTGCGAACAAAATTACTCTGGTGATCAGCTGTCACATCAGCTTTTGTATCAACTGCATTAGTGCCTGGCATGTTGGGACAGCTCCTTTCATGACTTGGACTTTCTAAACACGATGCTGGGGAGGGCAGGATCTGCAAGCGTCCTTGATGGGAACATGCACATCCATTCGCAGAAGGAGCACTCATTCTCCGATGTTCCCTCAAAGGCATGTTGTTATAGTTCTGCTCTGACATCCTTCTCCTACCTGGTCTATTGGCATCTAAATGACCATGAATCTGAGATTCCATAGTAGAGATGCCAGTATGCATCACAGGTGCTGTGTGGCATTGATGAACTGGAGAACTAATTTGCAATCCTCTACCTCGCATCATCTTTGATTTAATGTCTTTCACAGGATGATGGGGTGTGTCAGTGATTGGCATTCCTCTCCCAGTAACTGGAGTAATAACATGATGTTGGTAGCTCCTCCCACTTTGATAAGGAGGATGCCTGGTGTCTGTAATGGCATGACCAGGTGAATGTCTTGATGAATTGTGTGACATTTGATGCATTGGCTGATGCATGTATGGATGAAGGTGTGGATGAATATTTGGCTGATCTGGACAGTTAACTTGACCTGACTGTAGTGCACTATTTTTGGGAACAGATTCATCAAAACTATCAAATAGCACAGATAACTCGGGAACAGATGGCTTTAGACTTGCATTCTGTAAAGATAAGAATTGCTCACATGACAGTTAAAATTACAGAGTCTGGGTTAAGTAAAAGATTTTTGTGAATCACTGTTATGTGAGAGCAGTCACTATACAGGCTCTGAGCCTTGATGTCAGACCTGTGCATGCCTTGCGATCCATTTTGTTTCTGTCTTTGGGCAAGGCACTGTACCTGATGATTGTCTCTCTCTAACCAAGAGTATAAAGTACTCTAATGCCCTGATTATTAACTGCAAAATTATTCAATTCAACCCAGGGAGAGAATGTGAGTGTTCCATAAGTTTAATAGAATGACATGGTAATCATGTGAAGCACAAAAGCCTATGCACTATTTAAAGCATGTATAAGCTTACCTGATGAAGAAGTGGTTTGGGACTAGGCTGAGGATTTGGTTCCTCAATTTCACCAGGTGCTGATGGCATAATCTTAGATGACTTGGACAAAGAAGATTTTCTTGAAGATCTAAAACAAATTTCATTCATTTAGATACTTTAGATGATTATGACAAATAAAAAAGAGCTGAATCTGATTTTGATGTAAGTGTATGCTTCTGTATTACCTCTGAGGTCTGAATTTCTGCATGGCATCAAGAAACGTTGCCTGTTGAGGACCATCCTTGGCAGGTGTCAGTTCTAGAAGAACAGGTGACCTCTTGGAATTCTAAAATATCAAAAACAATGACTTGAGTATGCCCTAAGGTATTTTTAATAATTTTTTGTAACTGGAATTGAATGTATAACACAAAAGGGTAAATACTGAATGGGAAAACTAGTTTACGTAGTTTTTGTATGACCATATGTGTAAAAAAGTAAAAGAACTTTTATTTTCAAATAGCCACTGAATTTTAGAGTTTATATATATTGTTTTGCTTTAAATATGTCTGTAATGTGTGTCATTTTAACAAAAGTCACTGACAATACCGGTACCGTGTCTAATCCACTCCAAATACCATAGGCTTACAACCATAAATAAGAGCAACATATAACAACATATCTTTATAACCAAGTCTAAATCTATCATGATTCAGTATAAATTTTTCCTCCCGCCGACAACAGTTCCATCGCAGAGGCAGTCTTCTAGCATCCAAATACTATATGCAGGGTTTTGTGAAAATAGAATATGCAAACTATAGTTCATAATTCAAATCACTTTACCTTCATTAAGTGCAAGTTTTCATGACATTCATAAAGTTGAAAGCAAATTTCATCTTCCAGAGGGCGGCATTGATAGAAGACAGGTTGAGGTGATGATGGAGTGTAGAGCACCACAAGAAAACATCCAGTCTCAGAGAGGACTCTACAAATATAAATACTTGGCATTTAATAGACCGAATTAGTCACCAAAGATGACATCATGGATATGAATTTGTAATCACTGGGCAAAGAGCTATGCTAATGCATTGAGCGGAGTTGAAAATGGTGTATATTAGATCTAAATGTAATGAAGTTAGTATAGAAGATACTTTTTACAACAATGTATACATTTTGAATAATTATAGATTCATGAGACAAGGTTGATTTGATTTAAATTTCCATTCAGACTAAAAATATGAAGAGTTTTGAGAGGCCTGCTAGGAGGCCTAGGGGCAAAATTTACTCGAGCGGAGGCTTATTATTATGTAAAGAAACTGCCAACTAGTGGTCTGTTTTGATGTTATACCCACTATAACAGCTTTGGTTTGGTGACTAATTCGGTCTATTATAAGCAAAAATTACAAAAAAATAAAAAATTAAATTTTCCGTTTTGGCTTGGCCCCTGTGACAGTTGCATTATAGCACCAGTACTGACATGTAACGGATACAATGTCTCTTATTCCTGCCTAAGGATGCAAAACAAAATTTGGATTGCATTTAAAATGCGCTAAATGATAGCTTCCCTGTTGTTTAACACTGATTTGATTTCTGATCAGTTCGGAAGGTCTTCAGATTCGAAAATTTAGATTCAGTGTGAATGCAGATTTACTCTTATACCAGGGATATTCGAGGAGCAGAGTAATTAATTTGGAATTTGTTTATTTTGTGCTGAAATTGACACTGCACCTTGAGCACCATTGGTGGAGATGTGCGCTTATATAAATCTTTATTATTATTATTATTAATTAGACTCCAATTAAAACTTGATGTTGGCCGGGATTGAACCAGGGTCTTAAAGAGCAGCAACATTATTTTCACTTTAATATTTTCAGTTCGACATTCTTATGTTATACAGTATTATCCTCTCTATTCAATGCCCTATCTACTAAAAGCATATCATGCTGAACCTCTGTATTCAGCCCATTAAAACATACATGACTGTGATTTTCTTTACAATTGTACATACCTTTCTTGTATACTATTGTTGAGCATGAATCTCAGGCAGGCTGCCCAAGCATGTGGACTGTATACTGATAAAATCCCACTCAACCACCTATAGGAACATATAAACAGGTAAAAATAAATACGCAACTCAACCACATACATTTAGTAAACACTGCACAAATCAACTTTCTACAGAAACGTTTACACATGTAATAGTAAATACTGTACAAATCAATTCAACTACATATAGCATAGCAAGGTACATACAAGTATATTGTACAAATTCCAACATACTTTAGATATCTTTCAGCATGGAAGAAATTAATGCAAATGGGAATACAACTGTAAAAATATAATTAGTTTCTATTTGTAGGTGTTAGTTGTCCCTCTAATTGGCTTGGCTGTTTAGAGGTATGCAGATTCTGACATTACACAGAGACTTGCTTTGTTTTAGGATTCAATTAGATAGGCAAATTCATACACTATGTCCTATACAGAACAACGTCTTGATATAGGTCTTGGGCAACATATGGCTTAAAATTCTTTTCTTTATTTAGTTTCATTGTCAACAAATTACTGTACACATTAACTAAGAGCCCACATAGACATGTGCATAGAAATATTCCCTAAAATTAAGTTGATTACTTACAGGCCAACAATAGGTAGAGTTGAAATCTTTGGATCAGATTCAATCATAAGCAGAAGTTTTCTTGTTTGGTCCATAGTCATATAACTAACACAAGAAACAAAAAATGGAACACTTTATTAAAAGTGCAGTATACTTAACTTACGCCATGGTAGCAGTATTTATAGATAATGCAGATATAAATACTGTAACCATGGTTACATTATTCATAATGGAGATATTAATGTGTTATGTAAAATCAAACAGCAGTTTCTTCAATGAGGGTGGTATGACAATTTTATCAGCAATCAGCTTGAATATAGTAAATTTAACTGATAAATTTACCAGTCAATGATGGATAAATGTTTTCATTCCTGATGATGACATAATTAATGTTGAAATATTGAATCCTGACAGGATGGCGTGCATTTCGATACTTGGAGTATGTATTATACTATCATATCATGGATAAATATATTCTTGTAAAATAAAAAATAAACTTTATTTTAATAATCATAAGTGAGTAACATGTGGTTGTTTGATGTACTGAAACCATCTAATCTTCATCTAATAAATATAGTTAAACTTGCCTAAGCCGACTTTGCCTAACTCGAATAATTTCTAAGTCGAACTTATTTTACATGCTAAATTGTTGTGTTTTCCATTAGGCCTAACAATCTGTAAGTCAAATTTTATCTAAGTCGAACAATTTTTTCATTGCATTTTGGATTCGACTAAGGCAAGTTCAACTGTAATTGGAAAATAATCATTATAAATAGTCAATTTTGCAACTATACACACCTGATAACCATCTGAATGTATCTATCTATATCTGGCTCAATTACATGATAAAAATATTACTTTATTATTAGATTACTGACCCCATTTTGTGTGTCTTCTGTATCTCACTCAAGCTCAGTGGACCTGACAGGTTACGAGCCAATGCTGTAGGAAGGATTGGAACTGGTACTACAGGGCTTAATTGATATTCATTACTTACAGTCACAGAACTTATTGCTATTGCTATGGTCACATGATCATCATGGTTGTAACATGTGCAGTGCATTCGTAATGGGAGTAACCTGCCAAATGCTAGGCTCTCCTTACTGCAAACTAGATGATTAATAAGCTGCAAGAACAGACATACAAAATCCATCAGGTATATGTAATTGTACATTCATAAGGATATAAGTGTAATAATATTCTTGCTAAGCCATGGGGCTCATATGGGCTGGAGCTTATCCCCAGTTTCAATCAATAGGACAATATACAGTAATTGATTTTAATCACCACCTTCTTAATTACTGTACTAAACTATTAATTAAAATGCACCAATATTAACAATGATCAAAGGTGCAGTTTACCCATTGAGTTTGTCATAATCATACATTTTAAAATCTAAGGTGGTATAACAAATGACATCATCATCCTTTTCATTATTATAATCACAAAATACAGGCAAAATGCACCAATATTAACAATGATCAAAGGTGTAGTTTACCCATTGAGTTTGTCATAATAATACATTTTTAAATCTAAGCTGGTATAACAAATGACATCATCATCATTTTCATTCTTATAATAACAAAATACAGGCACTATGCTACAGATAATATTGTTATAGTAGCATTAAGGAGCTGTAGTAACATTTATATTATTTCATTTAAAAACATTGTTTTATAAAAGGTGACGCCTTACCCTTGCACTGTGGGTTATGTCCTGTTGTGAGTGGGTGGGGATGTAGTCTGCACTTCCCTGGCTGATAGTGAGGGGTACAGCAAAGTCCCCTGGGAGTAGAGTTGTTGGCACATACTCTGTTCTACCAGGTGTATTGCTACCTGGGTCAAATCTATCAACTATCAATATAATGCCTTCATCATCTATTGCAAGAATGCAAACAGATTAATTAAAATGTCAATGAAGTTGAATTGGAAATATTTTTTGAAACAAAAAATCAATACAGAGATAAAGTAAGAATCAGTGGATCGGTGGCTAATGGTGATGGTTAAAGCAAGAATTTACAGAGCTTATAAAGTAATCAACTGGGCATAAAAATGTTGGTCTAACAACCACTTCTGTAAATTGATGCAGATTCAACTATGCATTTGTATACTGTAAAACCTTGAATTGAAGCCCTGGACTTCTCCTTTTTTTGCGAACATTTGATGGACTTTTTTCGAGATGGGCTTCATTTCGAGATGGGTTTCTTTTCAAGGCTACTTTTACAAAGTAAAGAGGGGGCTTCTTTTCAAAGTGAATGCTGTAAATTTTGTGAATTTGTACTATAAAACAATAAATAAGGCCACTGTAACATCAATCTGTATCCTTGAGTGTATTTAACTGGTATCAAATCACCTAAACTACTTTATAAACCAAGTTTGTATATAATTTATTTTGTTTTCTGAAATTCATGTACAGTGTATGCAATGTACTATCTTGAAAAGAAGCCTATGGGCTTCTTTTCGAGGCTAATTTTGCAAAGAGGGTGGGGGGGGGGAAACTTGAATTTAAGATGGGCTTCATCTCGAGATTAAGCCCACAGGGCTTCAATTCAAGGTTTTACGGTATGCTTCAATGACTGAGGCTGTATTACCTGTATTAAGCAAACAGTGGCCCACAAGGAAGCAACGATAGATGTTCTCTTTGCTTTGTAAAGCATGACGGTTAGCTAGCAGCACTGCCCTCTCTGTCAGTTGTATCTGTGGATTTCTAAAATACAATTTTAAATACATTTTAGGAAAGTATAATACATACTCCAAGTATTGAAATACACGCCATCATGTTGGGATTCAATATTTCGACATTAATTATGTCATCATCAGGAATCATAAAATACATTTTAGTTAAGGTAATAACTACACACTATTATGTAATGGTAATGGCAATGTACATGTACTTCTAAAGCGCAATACAAAATTGTCTTTATGCACTGAAAAACCACAGCCCAAGTGAACAAAAAAGGAAAAAAAAACAAAACCAAAAGAAAAGAAATCAAGTTCAGAATTAAATTAAAGAGAAAAGATAGGAGCCGAGCTGAGACAGTCATGTATATTTAAAGCTTCGGAGGAGCAACAAGAGAGAGAGGACATACAGTACATGCTGTGAGAATTACTGAGGAAAAATGAGACAAAGTGATGTAACATAATAAGGTTGACATTGACATTAAAAATTATACATACCTATAGTGTGCAAAATGTAATGGAATAATAGAGCCTTGATCTGTAGGGTTCCTAAAAAAAATAATGCCATTTAAAAATCTTCATACTCTAGAATGCAGACAGATCATTAATCTGAAGGGTTCCCTATAAACAATAAATTAACATTAATAAGCCTCTTTAATATTACATGGAACATTAGAGCATTGATCTAGGGTTCCTACAAAAAAGTAATCAATATTATACATAAAACTGTATTTAAAGATGAAAACAATGATTCTGTCTTCATTCACACTCTACTCAATTTCAATTGTACCATTCAACAGACTGATTTTTCAGTGGAGGGAGTCCTCTTCATCACAAAACTCAATACACACAAATGACAGCAAAACATGTATCAGAAATACCGGTATTTTAGAACTTTAATTATAAAAAGTCCCTCTTCATTTACTTTTACATAATTATTATTTATCAATCAATTCAAATATTAAATTTATTTGTCAAAGACTTACCAAAGACATTTACTTGTTGCTGGGAACTTTATGTCTTTTTTCACAAGTCCACTTTTCAATTTGACAACTGGAAGTTTTGATGGATTTCTTGGAAACATTTTATCTGCAAATTTGTGCTCCGTTTAGTGGTTCACAGCCAGTTCCCTAGAAAGGAGGAATACTAAAAACTGATTGATGTCTTATAGGCCTATTAAGAAATTTGTTAAAATCCTCAAAAATAAATTTTGATTTGAATTGTTTGGTTTGTAAGAAATTCACCTAATTTCCTAGCTAGGGATTTTCTGCACAAAGTTATGAGCTGATTTTTTAGGTATCCTCTGGGCAATATTTAGCTTTACACTACAGATGGTAGTAGTAGGCCTAGCCTAGGTACTGTAGAGTAGGGCCTAGGCCTAGATAGAAAATCAGTTTCAGTTGATAAAATAATGAATGGATTTGGTTACTAGGACTAGGCATCCCAGAAACTTCTTATAGTTCTCCCTAACCACTAGCCTAAGCCTTGAAGGCCCCAGGGCCTAGTAAAGCACTATTTACTAGAGTTCCCTAGAGCTAGGCCCTAGGCCTAGAGCCTCTCTGGCCTAGGATAGACCAGGGCCCGGGCGGACCGCCCGGGCCCTGGCCTAGCTAGGTAGGCCCTGGCCCTAGCCTAATCCAATTATTAAGTAATTACACATACGCATCAACATATTTGTAATCATTTAGTTAAATACATGCTCCATACTCACGCCTAATCGATTAATAATCAATTTCAAAATGTTTTCAGGTTATCTTGAAATTAGAAAATGTTGCTTGAGGAAAACTCTTCGTCTTTTTTTTTTACATTTTCAACAATCAAACATCCCGCCTTTGAAATTGGTCAAGGATATCGACACGATCGCAGTGCACTCATGGATAACACTCTGCTTATGCGGTAATGTAGCACACTAAAAACTTCGGTCAGAGCGTACGTACAAATAGTCACTTCTGCCGCATTATCCACAGAAGCAGCTACGGTGTGTCAGACGGGCCTAGCCTAACCTAGTGGGGCCTAGTTCTGAGTAAATTTATGTTAAATGTAGAATAGAAAAACAAGAGAAGAGCACTATGAGTAACATATATATCCATGAACCACCAACGAATGGGAAGGTAAGTGAGGTTACCTAGGCCTAGACTCTAGGCCTAGCCTAGCTAGGCCTAGGAATGGATCTAGGAGGGACGTCACAGCCTAGGCCTAGCATAGGCCCTAGTGCTGCTGCAGTACAGTAGGTAGGGGAAGAGCACCACCGGTTGCTGGACAGAACGGCAAAAAACTAAAGCGGCAATAAGTCAAAATGGCAATGAGGAAAACGGCAAAAAACCAAAACGGCAACACTTTTCAACCAGAAAGAACGGCAATAAGTCAAAATGGTAATAAGTCAAAATGGCAAGACCAAAATAAAATGGCAATTAGGCCTAAGTCAAAACAGCAATAAACCAAAATTTATAGGCCTATGTTTATTTTTATCAAAACTATATTTATATTTCCATAATTTGTATTTTGTTAAGATGTGTATAAGAGACAGTACCCATAGTGTGCAAAATGTAATGGAATAATAGAGCCTTGATCTGTAGGGTTCCTAAAAAAAATAATGCCATTTAAAAATCTTCATACTCTAGAATGATATTATATTGTAATATATGTTATTGCTTTTGGGTAATAATAATAATAATAATATATCATACAAATTTAATAGTAAAAATATTGGGGAATTACAATGTAAACATTTAAATAGTTGTAACTTCAAAATGCAGACAAAATAAGGCTAAACAGTTTATGTCATAAAAGTAAAAAATGCGCGAAAGAAAAAAAAAATAAATAAATAACACTTTAAAGAAGAAGAAGAAGAACAATAATAATAATAATGATACAGTAATAATAATAATAATAATAATAATAATAATAACATACAATACAATTCAATAGTAAAAAGACTGCAATAAAAGTTTATGTCATAAAAGTAAAAATGCGTGAAAGAAAAAAAAATAATAATAATAAATAACACTTTAAAAAAGAAGAAGAACAATAATAATAATGATAATAATAATAATAATAATAAAAATAATAATAATAATAACAATAATAATAATAATAACATACAATACAAATTCAATAGTAAATAATTACAACCTTAAAATACAGATAAAATGAGGCTAAACAATATTATGCCATGAAAGTGTAAAAACCAGGAAAAAATAATAATAAATAACACTTTAATATAACATAGGCCTAGTCATGGATGTGTAAAAAAAAGAAACATACTAACAAAAAACAAAACATGTTACAGAAAATTATAAGCTGCTGCCCGCACCTGGTGGCGCTTCATTCTTGGCATTGATTTTGCACCTTTGCCGTGTTTGTCTATGCCTATTGTCGTTTTGGTCTATGCCTTTTGCCGTTTTGGTCTATTGCCGTTCTGGTACTTATCTTTGCCGTTTTTATTTATTTTGGTGTATCATCAGTTCAGTTTATTTCTCATCATCAAAACATTGTACAAAACAGATAAAATTCACACAAGGCAGGACAAAAAAATATTACAATAAAAGATGATGCAAGGATGGTCTTAACTCTATGAAAGTTTTCTTTAAGAAGTAAAACTTAATTCCAATGTGGCACTACATAAACTAATTATAAACATGAAAGTGTACAACGATAAATACGGTGAAAATGAGGCTAAATTGTCATAGAAGTAAAAAACGCGAAAGAAGAACAACATTAATAATAGTAATAATAATAATAATATTAATAATAATAATAGTATAGCATACAAATTCAATAGTAAAAAGATTGGAGGAATCACAATATAAAAGCAGTAAACATTTAAATAATTAAAACTTTAAAATACAGGCAAAATGAGGCTAAACAATTTAGGTCATAAAAGTAAAAAAGCGTGAAAGAAAAAAAAACACTTCAAAGAATAACAACATTAATAATAATGAAAATAATAATAATAAAAGTCATAATAGTAAAGATAACAACAACAGTACAACATACAAATTCAATAGTAAGAAAGATTGCGGGAACACATTATAATATACACAATATAAAACCAGTGAACATTTAAATAATTAAAACCTTAAAATACAGATAATATGAGGCTAAACAATTTATGTCATGAAAGTAAAAAAATGGAAAGGAAAACATAATAATAATAATAATAATAATAATAATAATAATAATAATAATAAATAACACTCTAAAATAACGAAATAATTCGTCATGGATGTGTAAAATGAAAAAAAAAAAACACGATTCAGAAAATTATAAACTGCTGCCCGTGCTCGGTGGGTCTTGGCATTGATTTTTGCTCCTTTGCAGTTTCGGTCTATGCCTATTGCTGTTTTTGTAGTTGACATTGCCGTTTTGGTACTTATTGCCATTTTGGAACTTATTGCCATTTTGGTTTATTGCCGTTTTGGTCATTGCCGTTTTGGTTTTTTGCCGTTTTGTCCAGAAACCGTACTGTATGCTGTAGTTAGTTTACCTACCACTCTGCTTGCCTATTTAATGAAATGAGTGGATATTTTAAACAGAATTGCTTTAAAGTTTCAAGTACTTTTCTCAATCAATTCTCTACTTTTATGTTTTACGTGTAGGTTCTTCTAAAAACCTCTTGCGGTGATATTGACATTGAGTTATGGTCAAAAGAAACACCAAAGGCATGTCGCAACTTTGTCCAACTTTGTATGGAAGGCTACTATGACAACACCATTTTCCATCGTATTATTAAAGATTTCATAGCACAAGGAGGTGATCCTACAGGGACAGGAGAGGGTGGCGATTCAATTTATGGGAAAACTTTCAAGGTAAAAATTACAAAAACAAAATTTTTTTATTGCCCACTGATCAGTAAATCAGTCATAATTTCATTCTAGATGATGATGGCTTTTTTGAACTTTTTAAAATGAGTGTTAATTAATTTGTTGGTTCCAATTAAAAACATTTTATTTCATTCAAGGATTTATTCAGAAATTACATTTATTTAGGATGAATTTCATTCAAGACTCAAGTTTGTTCGTCGTGGTTTGGTTGCTATGGCTAATGCTGGTCCTAACGACAATGGCAGTCAGTTCTTCTTTACTCTAGGCCAATGTGATCATCTCACTGGTAAACATACTATATTTGGAAAAGTAAGTAAAAACCAATCAGCTGGCCCACCTTGAAATGTAATCAACTCTGTGTTTTTAATTTCTTTATAAACCTATGTAGTGATTGATCCATTTTAACTATTGTTTATTGTAGGCCTAAGCTAAATATTGTAAATATTGGTGTGTATTCTTATAAAATCTATTTTTGGTATTTCAGCCTTCTTTTATGTGTGTCATTATGTTTTGTCTTTAACTTATTAACATGTAGGGAGAACAATTGGATAGTTATATCCAGGTCTATGGCTACAGCGGTCAGCACTGCACTGAAGAATTTCAACCATCACTGGGTTAAAATTAAGCCTAGACAACCAGCACAAAATTCAAAGAACTGTTTGAAAAAATGAAAAAACCTACAAACACTTAGATTTTTTCTAGCTGTTGTTAACCCTGGTTGTATCACAGAATAGTGACTTTGGTATGGAGAAATCTGCAACTTTGAATTACATATAATATTTTCAACTTAAAAGTGGTTTCAGTCACTTTTTGGAGTTTAAATGTTTATTTTTCCTTTTGAAAATTAATAGAAAATTTATTTCTTTGTTTAAAAATAATGTTTAGAAATAACTAACTATGTAACCATCATGGGAAATGGTTTCAGGTTGTTGGCAATACTATCTATAACTTGGTGAAGTTAGCTGATGTACAGACAGATGGGGATGACCGACCAAACTTTCCACCAACTATCAGGTCAACGGAGGTAAATACAGTAATCCTAATGAAATTCATCCTTTTACCCTATCCAAAATATTGAGAGAAACATTTTTTTTGTAATAATTTTTAATCAATTTAATATAATTTTTTGCTACACAAATTAGATAGCTACTAGTGGAGCTGTGACTGGGTGGTTACAATGCTTGCTTTTAATCTTAGGATTAGCTTTAGCTTTTTACAGTGCTTGCTTTTAATCTTAGGATCTCTGGATTTAATTCCTCTCAGTCACAGTAAACAGGTTTTTTTTTACTAAAACAATTTACTCCTTAAGCTTCATAATGAGACTTAATTAAGCTTGTCATATGTAAGAAATTGCCATCTAGAAAAGTCTTTATTTTTACTAATTGCATATCCATTGCAATTTTACCTAAATAAAAATAATTTTTTAAAAACCACGGAGAGAAACAGAGAAATAAAAGCAGCATCCACCAAGTAGATGAGGTTGTATGAAATGTTTGGACATTGATCAACATGCTTTATGAACATGGTATTTCTTCAAAAGATGCAATTATATTATACATTTTTCAAAGGTTTGAAAGCAGTCTGCTGCCCTCTAACTTTTAGTAGTCACCATTAGTTAGTAGTTTATGTTCACTTTCATCACTGGTGTAACCAATATGTATATAATTCCTGCAACACTGCTTGCTTTAATGACTGATTTATTGACTGGCTTGATTCCAGATGCTTCTGCATGCCTCTCATATTGCTTCTGAGTAGATGGCAGATAGAACTGGTGAAAGGCTGCAGCATTCAATGACTACAAACATAGTACTACGACTTTGGCTATGTTTACATTTTGTGCAATTTTTTGCAAGTTTTCTATCCATCTAACCAATATTTCTTATCACCCAACTTTTTTTTCTGCATTGAAGGCCTTCTCAAGATCTACAAATACCATACACTTCAGTAATTGTGTGTTCCCTCAGGTTTTTTAATACATCCTGTTACAACATTTGACCATTACTGTTTCTATTCCAAGCCTTACAATGATGACATCCTATCTCACACCACTTTTACATTGTCCAGAAAGTACACTGTACTTAAATTCTCAAAATTATTAGTGTTTCAGGCACATTGTATTTCTTAGTTATGAATTGAGTTCATTACAGACTAAAATTGAGTTCAGAGTTGTTCATCAGGTGACAGAAGAGGGTTGATTGATTGACATTTTCATGTATTTGTTGGTATATTTTGAGAGATATACAGTATTATGTGTTGTCACAGTGTTAAAAGCAAAATGCATTAACTTGTCATAATTGCCATTATTGTTATTATGATGATCTGTTTGCAGTGGAGGATGTCTACACCCATTGAGGAAATGCATACCAACTGTTGTTATCCACATTTGAAATGAATTATTCCAAGGCATGGCCACAATTAGTTGTCAGTTTCCATCAATAATATGATTGTGTTGTATGTTCACAATGCAAGCTGAGTACTCAGGGACAAAGATGGTGTACTACAAATCCTTTGGGATGTCATACTTCCTGGCTTTCTGAATTTTCAACTTGTTTTTTTGGTAATTATGTTGTAGCAATTAATTTCTAATTCAAAATATGAAGGATATCTTTAGGTAAGAGGAAGGTTTTTCAAAGTATTTAAATTTGCATGGGGTTCTTTTAAAAATTGTAAGGATGTGCTTTTGTGTCAATATTTTTAAAAAGGGACATACTGTATATATATTGATAGATATCAATATAATTGTACAATGTTTGTTACGATGCTGATATGTATAAATGATTTGTATGTTAAAGATTTTATGTTTGTTTTTTAAGGTATTGGCTAATCCTTTTGATGATATTGTTCCACGAGAATCAAAGAAGAAAGAACTTGAAAAAGATGAAACTAAATCAAAGAGCAAATCAAAAGCAACAAAGTAAGAAAAAAATCATACTAATATAAATCTTTGCTACAAGATCTTGAGTTGTGAATTCACTTATTAGACGGATTCCATGGCTCATTTGATGATGACTGGGTTCACAAGATCTTGAGTAGTGAATTCACTTATTAGACGGATTCCATGGCTCATTTGATGATGACTGGGTTCACAAGATCTTGAGTAGTGAATTCACTTATTAGACGGATGCCATGGCTCATTTGATGATCACAACTGGGTTCACAAGATCTTGAGTAGTGAATTCACTTATTAGATGGATTCCATGGCTCATTTGATGATGACTGGGTTCACAAGATCTTGAGTAGTGAATTCACTTATTAGACGGATTCCATGGCTCATTTGATGATGACTGGGTTCACAAGATCTTGAGTAGTGAATTCACTTATTAGACAGATTCCATGGCTCATTTGATGATGACTGGGTTCACAAGATCTTGAGTAGTGAATTCACTTATTAGACGGATTCCATGGCTCATTTGATGATGACTGGGTTCACAAGATCTTGAGTTGTGAATTCATTTATTAGACGGATTCCATGGCTCATTTGATGATGACTGGGTTCACAAGATCTTGAGTAGTGAATTCACTTATTAGACGGATTCCATGGCTCATTTGATGATCACAACTGGGTTCACAATTTTGAAATAAAACATCAACCTTCTTCTAAACATGATCTTTGTTACTCTAAATCATTGTAATATTCTGAGAAGCCAACAATCTCTTGTTGGCTGGTTCTCTACTACGGTGGTTGCCAACCTGGGGTCCTGCTATCGACGACTGGGTTTTGATGTATAACATCAAGCTTCTTCTAAACATGAACTTCATCACTCTAAATCATTTGTAATTTTCTGAATCTCTTTTAGGCTGGTTCTCTAATACAGTGGTTGCCAACCTGGGGTCCTGCTATCTTTAAGTCTTTTACTAATGGTTTTTATCTTTTTCTGAAGAAATTTTAGTCTATTGTCATTTGGAGAAGAAGCTGAGGAAGACGAAGAGGAAGTTAATGTTGCAAGTAAACAGATGAAGACTAAAAGTAAGAGTGCACATGACCTCACAGATGATCCCAAGTTAAGCACCCAAGCAGCATTAGATGTTGAGTAAGTTGAAAGCTAGTCAATTACTTAAATACAGTATGCAAGTAAGCAGTCAGAATAATGATTATCATTTAAATTATAATTTATATATCTATGTTGATTTATCAACATAATGATAAATATGATTTATAATATGATTTATTTGTAATATGATTTATTTATAATATGAATTAAATATGATTCTTATATGATGATATATATTTATATTTAAATATGATTTATAATATGATGTATTTATAATATGATTTATAATATGATTTATAATGATTATCATTTAAATTATAATTTATATATCTATGTTGATTTATTTTATTTTCTAAGGAATTTACCCCCTGCAAAAAAGCAAAGAGTTGATGAAACGGAAGAGATAACTGAAGAAGACTACAATTCTTTTATGATGATATATATTTATATTTAAATATGATTTATAATATGATGTATTTATAATATGATTTATAATATGATTTATAATGATTATCATTTAAATTATAATTTATATATCTATGTTGATTTATTTTATTTTCTAAGGAATTTACCCCCTGCAAAAAAGCAAAGAGTTGATGAAACGGAAGAGATAACTGAAGAAGACTACAATGAAAAGATGAAAGAGAAGATAAAAAATAAGTTAAAGAAGGAAGGAAAAGCAAGCACTGTAGGTGATAAAGAAAAGGGCGCAAGTAATAGTAGTAGAAGGTAATTTCCAAGAATATCCTTGATTTTTGAGGATGACTGTTGGTAATTGATCATATTTATTGTTGTTGCTATTGATGCTGATTGTGATATTGATGGCGAGGATTATGATGATAAAGAATTAGATGTGGAGGATAGCTATGAAAATAATGATAAGCTATTAAATGATAAAATAAAACAAAAGTGATTCCAAATATAGAAAGTGAGGCCATGTTACTCAACATTTCGTCTTTATTTAGTCATCATCAGGAATAACATATTAAATGATAACGAAAATGAAAACAAAATAAAAGCTTCTTATGAAAATGATGGTGGTGATGTAAATAATGATGATAATGACATCAAATGAAAAAAGAATTAAAATTCTGATAAAAATTATGATAATATTGATGATAACAATGATGAAAATTGTAATGATGAAAAGTATAAGTGATGTATAACCATCAAAATCATTAAACACTGTCAACCATATAAGAGAAGAGAATGGGAAAGGAAGCTTATGAACGATGATCTAAAAAAACGAGTACTATAGCCACATAATTCCATCGTTACATTACATAATTAAAATTTGTCAAAGCTTACATTATTATTGTATAGGTTAGTTTTTAATACTTGATTACAGAGAAGCTTTACAACAAGAAGCTGAAGACCTGAAACGAGAACTATTAGGAAAAAAGAAGAAAGAAAGAAAAAAAGATACTTCAGAAGGCACAGATGAATTAAAAAATGAAGAATCAACAGATGAAAATGCAGATGAGGTAAAGGAAGGACAAACAGATATGATCAATGAGTTTAAAGATCAGAAGAAAAAGTTCAAACATATGAAGAAAAAACAAGCAAAGGGAACCTCACGGGAAGAACAGGTGAAATTTCTATTGTTTGATCTTAAAACAAGTTCGTGTTTGCATATCATTCATAAATGTGTTTGTATGATAAGAAGATAAAGTAACCCATGTTAAGGCTGTAGCAGTGCCTTTGCTTTACTGCTCGGCCACTTAACTTGCATGTAGGTCAAACATTTGAGAACCCTATAGGTGAACATGTTCGTAGAAATGCCATAAGGTGGTAACACTCGCAAACAGCTGATCACTGTGTCATGGTAAGCAAGTGTCCCAAAGTCTAGCCATCATTCTGAAAACTATTCAGTCATCATGAAAGAGATTAGTAAATTCTCTAAAACTGGTTCACTCTCATTTGGTTAATGTCACATTTATTGCTGTCGTCTATAGTATGATTCAGAATATACATTACAGAAAACAATCAAATCTGTCCCATCAGTGATGTAAATGATTTGATACAGTCACTTTATTATGATTTTCAGAAGTTAAAAACTGAGTTTTAACTGTTGTACAGTCCTAATCTGTATTCAAAACATTGGGAAATATGACTGCCATGCAAATAGCACTTTTCAGCAATGCATATAAAAGTCTACAAGCAAGTAAATGCTTGTAGACTTAAATATGCTACCTCAAAACCAAAGGGTCTCAGGGTGTTTACATTTACATACAGTTTATTTTGGTGTGAGCCAGCCAACTGTTGAGAGGAAATATTAAACCAAATTCACCAAAATTCATCTCTTACCAAATTAATTTGAAAGCTTTCCCCTATTATCTGTGAGACTAACAATATACTGTTCTTAATGCTAACTTAAACCAAACTTTAAAGTAACATCACCAAAGATTGCCATTCTGAAGCCTGCCCTCATTAGTTTAAAATGAAGAGACTGGTAACTTATGTTTGCAATATAACGAGTTGCTAAGTATTAAGAAACATACTGTATAGATTTGACAGCTTTGATTAATGTATTGAATTTGAATATTAATGAGGGAATGAACGATATTAAACAATATAGTAAACCATGTCTTCTATAATTATTTATAAGTTGACATAATTCGACATCACAAAGTAGCACCCAATGAAAGCTTATCAGCTATTCTATTATAAAATTCATTTTTAGGTAAAAATTGTTCAAAATTAATTTAATGAAAGTACTAATGATGTGGATAAACAGCCGGTTAAGGCTTGCGGATTAGCTGCACTCTTTCCTGCTACTGAGGCTGATGTTTGTAATTAGATTCACTTTTTCAAAGAAAATGACAAATTTAATCAACCAATTTGTCTGAAACCCTGCCATTTTTGACAAGGTCATCTTTGGTAAAGTATATTGTCTTTTTATTTAATGGTTACATTTTTGAAGAAATGTATACTGATACAGTAGCTGCTAGATTAATTGACATATGCCCTCAACTATTATATTGAGGTGATTTTTCGTGTAATTGTATATCATTCAGTACTTTCAGAACAAGTGGTCCTTGACAGGAAAATGTAAGGCAATATACCGCCTCTACGCCTCAGTTGAGAAACTGATTGCTAACCAAAAGTTATGGGGTTTGAGTAATAATAATAAATATTGAATCCTACACTTTATATCAGTGGCACACACTATCAAGTGGTGCGTTCACAATAAAAACATTCAACCAACACAGTACATTCGTACCGGTACACTAAAGCACAGTCTAGTATAAACACGTATGTTATTCAAAAAACTATCATGTTTCTTGTTGTTTATAACCATACTTTTATTAATGACATCAAATAAATTTGATTTGTTCAATACATCTTTTGCATTTGTATTTCTTCTACTTGCAGACTCTCGCTATTTTGGCAAAGTTTCAGAATAAATTAATAGCCGCAAATGAAAAGACACACGAGGAAGGAGAAACGGAAGAGGGAAGCAAGGAAATAAGTTGGTAAGTTGATAGTTGAGTTGATACTAAAATCTGATTTCACCTCAAGCAATTACTGGTGAACCTACATATTTCTTTGCAAGCTGGTGTGCCAAGTTCAAGTCAAATTTTCAAATGATGGAGTAGTTAATTCTATTGATGACTGATATGGACAATACAAAATCAGTTTGTATTTGAGATTTTGAATATGATGGTGAAGACTAAAGAATGTATATAAGTCAGTCCAGACACTCCCCTCCCCCCCCCCCCACCTGCTACTTGACAATTTGAGCAGCAAATTGACTGGAAGTACGCTCAAGTAGTTGAAATTAATCTGATATTTCTTATTTTTGGCCAGCTAGCACCCCCCCTCACTGAATCATCCGAGTCCATCCACCTTTGTGGCTCCTATCAACCCCCCATGTCAATATTCCCAGATGCACCACTGCTACAGGCCTGTCATACCCAGGGGTTCCAAATTGGAACAAGCCTCGTTTGGGAGATTTGGTTAAATTAGCTTTCTTAAAATGTCTAATTTGATTTTGCTGCACATGGTGATAACTAATGCCAACTTACTTCAGGGAGACAATTGATAACACAGTAGTAAAAAGCAAGCAAATATTTGCAGGAAAAGGGTTAGTGTACAAGAGGTTTCTGCTTACTGGCAGGAGTGGGAGAGTAAGACCCCCATTTGTAATTGTACTAAACAATAGTTACACCTACAGTAAATACACCAAAGTATCACAATGCAAGTTTTTGTTGCCCCTTCCCCCCCCCCCCTTTAAACAGCTTGCTCTCTGAGGGCCTCTGTTTGGTGGTTGCTTGCTGGGCACCTGGATGGCTGAGGCAGGGTAAATGTTGCTCCAGTTCGTTTATCTGGTCTCCTAGGGAGTGGTCCCGGCATTGTGATAGCGGTGGCCACAGATGCTAGACCCTCAGAGAGCTGGATGCTGGGGACGTTTTTGTTTTTATTTTTATTGTTTAAAGTAAAGATTGTTGCTCGACACTTTTGTTGGGGCTGCTTATGGCTAGAAACTCAATTAGAAACTGATGGTAATAATAATAAATTTTTAAAATGTAATAACAAGTAGAAAATAAAAAAAAGAATAGAATACCACACAGCCTGATAATCAGACGCAAAACTCAGCGAGCTCAAGGGGCAGAGCCTTCAAATTGAAGTTAGCTTCTTAATAAGAAGATAAAGTAGAAGTGTGAGGCCATCCCAATCTCTGGAAGACTCTTCCAACTCGCAGGACAGTTTGGATGGGAGCACCGCATCATACCTGTATTAGCCTACAAGTATATTGTTTTCTTTATTTGACTGACCATGGTAAAGTTATAGTTGGCCCATTTACTTGTAATAACACAAGGTAGTATGCTTTTGCAGACCAAGGTACACCCACTTTGGCTGGTGTTCTTCCTGACATTATGCAATGAATTAATAACAACCCAGTGGCGGATCCAGGAATTCAAAATAGAGGGAGCCCGGGGAGGTACTTTCACAGATGGAGAATCTATACCACCTCAGTCCCACCTTGGTTGGGGCTGAGATAAATTTGTGATTATGGCGCCTCTAGATGGCTGGAAATTGCACTCTCCAGATTTAAAATTTGAATATAATTTTTATTTATATTCCATTAAAAAAAATTTTCTAACAATTTAGGGGAGGTCCAGGCGGCTGGGACCACCCTCCCCCCCACTTAAATCTGCCACTGCAACAAGCAACATGAAGTGAAACCTATGCAGCAAGGACATTGACCTCTCAATCATCTAGCCTAATAATTCTACACCCTTACCAAGCAAGTAGTTGACTCATGCACTGCAGAGGGGTGCTGCACAGGGCAATTTGATTGGTTAATGGATAGTGTGAAAATGATCATGGTATAATTCACTTTCAATAATATTTAACAACTTAAACATACTGCTCAGCTGTGTGAGCTATATAGGAAACTTTGAATTAGTAATAGTAGTGTGCTGTTAGTTACTACATTTCTTAAACATCTCACTCTTCGTATGTTTTTTTATTTCAATGATACTGAATGATAACTGACACATCTATCTGATAATTTTCACTATAACTTTGTAACCATTCATGAACTACAAAATAATATGTCCAGTAGTTTATTTTAAACCTCTTTACTGGTCAACATTCATGAAGTAAAAAATCAACTATGTCGTTACTTTTGCCAAATCTCCGAAATCAATCTCACTTTCACAGGGTCTGGTTCTGTAGCCCTATCGTTAGAACTTTCACATTTTTCACTTTTACCACTTCAGCCCTGGTACAAGTCTCAGTAGCGTCAAGTCATTTTTTTCTTTTTATATTTCATTATTCTTAAATTTTTTTTGTAAATTCATAATTTTAATATTTGTCAATATGTTAATGAAGAAAAATCTTATATTTTGTTATAAAGATATAGCCAATCTGTTTTTTGTTTATTTTACATTATTTCAATTCAACTCCAACAGTGAGTTCAACCACACCACTTATATGTATTAAATTCTGTTGATAGATAAAAACACAAAATAATATTTACATAAATAGGTTTCTGTAAATTTATTTTATTAATCTAATGTCAATTACTTTTGATTATAATTTCCTCCAAATCCTACTTTTAAAAACTACATGAAATTTGAACCAAAATGATTTCTATATATTTCTTAGTAGATTTAGAAGGAAGTGTGTGTGCAGATTTAAGGCAAGGATAGCAATGAAAACTTTAACAGTGCTAACACAGAGGAAGTCTTCACTATATCAATGCCAAAACTAGAGAAGGGAAGGGGTAAGCTCATATCCCCTCGTGATTCCCATGTGCGAGTGGGGAAATGTCAAAGCAGATACATGGACCCAGTTTCCTGACCAGTTTCTAGTGCAGTTTGCTCTACTGTCAAAAAAAATTCAAATTCTATCGCACTTTGTTAGTCTGCCAGAGAAGCGTTTTTATTTACTGTATGTCGGTATATACTTATGATTGATATATGTGTATATTTACCATTTATCAAAATATATCCTTTCTTTGTTCAAAATTGTTTTTATTGTGCATGAGTTAAATGTTGAGTTAATATACAGTGATAAAACCAATACAACAAGAAGAAAATAAGACAAAAGTTTATGTTATGATTAAAATCAGTGAAAATTATATTTTTTTAAATTTCTCCTATTTAAGAGAGCTACTATATTTAATTTTCAATTCAGTTTTATTAAGCAATATCATCTTTGTAGCATTTTCTGCTAAATTGTGATAGATACATAATGCCATATAGTATAATAATGCACTATAACACAATATATTCAATATATTAACATTAAAATGAAGCTAAAACTACCAAAATAGAAGAAAAGAAGAAAGAAAAGAAGAGAAAATTGTATATATTTGTGAGTTTAAAACAAAATGTATATTTTTAGATTGGTTATAAAATACAACACATTTTAACTATGTAAGCATAATATGGTTTTTATTGAATCAAGTTATACTTTTGTTAGTATATTTTATGATCCAAATTTAAAACCTAAAGTGTAAATAATATTTTTTGAAAATTTCTCATATATAAGAGAATTTTTATTAATGTTATTAGTGGTTTTTTAGTCTTGTTATCAAATACAAACACATTATAACTGACTGTGCGAACATAACATGTTATACTTACAATAATTAGTTTATGTGGTTCAGGATGTTTGTAAAATTCCTTTTAATATTATTTGAGATTGACTTGGCAACAAAAATCAATTTAAAATTTAATGATTATACAGATACATTAGAGGTTTTTTTTTTATTTTAATAAATGCGTGGTAGTTTACATTAAACATTCCAACATGCCTAATATACTGGCAAGTCTCTTGTGGGTTCTTACAATTTGAAATGGAACTGTTTATGAAACATCTCAGTAATTCTGTGTGTTATCTCTTGGTTGCAGGCAGCAGTGTTGCTAAATTTAGATCCACCCAACAGTGAGTTTTAATTAACGGTTCACAAACCTAAAAGCCAAAACAATAATATTTTGAGAATTTCGAGTATTTTTCACAAAGTTAATGTTTTTTGTGACAGACAAGTGATTGCCCAATAATGTATTTCCATATGATATGCCTTCTACTATCTTTATTTCCATTCATATTGTCCAGTAATGTCTTTTCATACAAATTGCACTGTTTATCCAGTGTTGATTGCTGTAAAGTCTTTCTATGTGGACTGTACTACTCTTTTCCATACAGACTGCCTAGTCCATTCCATATGGACTGCCAAGTAAAATGCTTTTCCGTAGGGATTTGCTCTGTACTGTCTTTAGACATGCCCTTTTTTATAAGTAGTTTAGCGAACCCGCCACCCCGTCAGTAATGATTATTTCAAATAACAATCAAATTTTATTTTTGGCCAATTAACACACCCGCCCCCCACAAAATATGGAATTTCAGAAAAAAAATTTAAGTTTTTCTTTATTTTTATTGTGCACGCCGCTGCTTTGAAATCTCCAAAAATTTGCTATGGATATTTCTTTCTAATTGTGTAAGTTTAAAGCATTTGTTAGCATTCAACAATAAAATTTTATTTTTATTTTCTCCTCTGTCTGGATGTTTTTGGGAAAACTATTTGCTAAATAAGAAAACAAAATTTGATTTTTGTTTTTTTTCTGCCCTCCTCTGATGTTCTTTAAAAATATATGTTTGTGAAACAACGTATAAAAAAAGTGATGCCTTAATCATAGAGTTTGTTTGTACGATACATATTTCTTCATGGATTGCCCAGTATTATTTTATTTATAGAGATATTTAGCCTATTAATATCTTTATAGATATAAGTAGCAGTCTATATCCACATTCAATTCAATTCAAATAAACATTTATTTCTTCCTTTCAAATCAAATAAAAAAAAAGGATCAAGATGATACAAGTAAAAAAAAAACCTGAAAAGGGCAAATACAGACTTTGATACCCAACCTTGTGGATTGTGACATACTGTCTGCTATTTTTACCCATGTTTTGCGGTATTACACTGTAGATGAGTATGTTTAATGTAATACCTTGCATCATTCACTCAGAATTAGTTGAACTATATATTTTAGGGTGTTGTTATTTCAGCAGAGAGTAAATGAGTAAATCCACCAATTCAATTAGAAAGTGCTGGCCAATAAGGTTCCTGAACAAGCCCTTAAAATATAACATCTGCAAAATGCACATGATATGCATTAAATACTGATCATCTTGATATTAAAAAGGGGTGTTGAATTTCACCCCAGGTATCACAAATACTTCCCAGCTATTAATTTCCCTGTGAAAAATATGCGGTATATTAATGTACAGCCACTTCATAGCTCATATCCCAGAGAGGGGTAAATTTGTGCCTGTACACTAAGTACCTCAATTACAACCAATTTCCTTTTTGGAGAGTGGAACATACCACAGCTGTAGCATATTCATCATCACTTGAGGGTGTTACCTGTACCCCTCAGCTGTTCTTACTCAATCTGAGTGTTCTCTGTACAGGCACATTTAGGTTCCTTATGGGCTTGTCAGTGTGATAGCAACAATTGCTTTTGCTTTAGGCAGTGTCGATATTAACCCAAGGTTATATTAATTGAGTATGATATTCCACAGTGTCTATGAATCCTAAAGGGATCCCCTCTTACCAGATACAAGCTTACCCACAAAATTTGACATTTAATATGGTGTACACAAACCATAAAATCTGTCCCATATTAAAATAGAGTTCACCATGTGTGTTAGCATTTCTATTTATATCAGTTGGAAGTGAAGTCTTTAACCATATTTCTATTCTTATAATTATTATTATTTTTATTATTTTTTTTGTTTTCATTATTTTTTATTACTTCTATTTTTATAATTATTATTTTTATTATATTTGTTGTTTTTGTCATTGTTATTGTCATTATTTTGATGTACTGTTAAAAATTTGACGAAAAAGATTGGCAGACCGACAGAATACTGGGAGACAAGCACTTCCTAACTGAAAGCAACGGTGCTATCAGAGGTCCCAATTCTCTGGAACTCCTGCTAAAATCTCTTGAAACTAACCCATCTACTGTTTGCATAATTATAACATACACACATACCAACGACCGCAAAGAAGAGTAATAATATAGCCATTTATACAGCATGATTTTACTATTGTATTAATAATTGCACCTCTGAAATTTTCTGGTTATAGGTAAAACTATTACCATACGTAATGATAATAAAATAAGGAGCTCACAGAAGTGGAGCTTGTTAATGGAATTGTTTTAAAAACAAAAACCTCTTAAAATAAGAAAAGTTGTAGATTGATGCTATACAAAAATTAAAGTCAAGATGGTGTTTTTTTTCATGGATACTTACTTTTTTATATTTTATATTTAATTTCTTGTAGGATGAGCCACAAGTTTGAATGTGACAGTCATGATATTAAAGTGAAGGATGCCAACGTCCAAGATGCAGACACTTTTGATATATTTGACCCTAGAAATCCAATGAATAAGCGCAAGAGAGACAATGCTGCAACCAAGGCAAAAGTCAATAGGTTAGTAGTTTGTTTGTTTCATTTGTTTGTTTCATTTATAGTAGTAAGCCCTGTATAAAGTGCTCCTGGTAAAATTGGTCCAAAAAATGACTTATTATGCAGTAGCACAGTATTATTACTGTAATAGTAAAGTAAAGGCGTTTTAAACAGGTGGAGGATGATTTAAAAGAAATAATTAACTTCATATTCATATATGCTCTCTTGAACAAGGTCGTATATGCTCTCTTGAACAGGTACAACATAGAATCACTGAACTCTGTTTTTCAAAAGCAAACCTTTCTAACAACTATGTTTCTATTCCATATGGCATCTGCATGTCAACCCTGGGGGTAATTAGTATTGAAAACAGATTCAAATACCTTGGTATATCATTTGTGGATAAAATGCTTATATAAAATGTATGACCTTAATATAAATAATATAATTAAAATAAATAACAGACATGATCCCACAAAATTCCTCCACACTCACTGCCGCACAAGAATAGCAATGTATCATGTTTTTAATTTGTTTTCGTTTTATTTCAATAATGATAATATTTGACCTTCAACTTTTTTTTTTTTTTTTTTTTTTTTGCTATATTTTTTAAGTGTTGCTTTTTAACTTTTTATGGTAATTTTTATAATACCTTTTATGGATTCTCTGTACAGCAACTAAATTTTAATGCATTTTAAAACTAAATATCTTAATTTTATGTACACATTATTATTTGTATATTATTTTGTTGGATAAGGGTTGGAGAGCCACATAGAAAGTGATTCATTTTGGTATTGGCAATCTGGTCCACCTCCTAAAAACATTTCAGTGATCTTGCTTTGTGTATTGTTTTTTGAATATTGTATTTTTTATCAAGTGAAAAAATAGATGAAATTAAATGAAAAAAAAAATAAAAATAACATTTATTTATTTCCTCAGTAACAAAATCAGTTAATTTTTCAACATAAAGAAATCCAAAATACCATAGCTTAGATGTAACAACTTTGAAACAAATAACAGGTTCACCTGGCCTGACTTTGCCATTTTTTCACTTTTAATCTAAATATTTAAACATCCTATTTTGAATAAAGGTGAATATATTTAGGAAATAATCGGTTTCACCGATCGCTGTCTTACCAACCGCTGTCTTATCAACCGCTGTCTTACCAACCGCTGTCTCATCGTGATCAGAGAAATTCTAGTGTGAAATACTTAATAAGGAACAAGCTAATTCACAAAAACTTGCCTTTTCCAATAATAGTACATCACACTAAGCCAGAGCTAAGAGAAACTTTGGTGCTATGTTTCCTGAAAGAATTATTAATCCAAGCTCTTCCAGCACTCAGAATTCAGCAGAATGTAAACATTATATTTTTATAATGATTTTAAGAACATTTTACAATTATTTTTATCAATTTTCACATGGACTTAGTCTGACACAAATACAAGGTATGCTTTCAACATAGGAAATAAGTTTTTTTTTGCTTTGAAGTTTTTCTAATTATCATGTTTTGTTTAATTTGATGTAGTTTATGAAAAATAGCATAATTTCAAAATTGAAATAGTTGCTAAAGGGGAAAATGGAACGGTAGAGTTATATCTTTGATTGCCATCTGCTTTGCATTGTTCTAACTACAATCACATTACATTAATTACGTTAGTTGCTTTCAAAATGGTAAAGTGAGCCCTCTATTGACACAATCTGGATTACAGATGGGTTAGGTTTGTTGATTGAAGTTCAGTAAGGTGAAACAGCTAGTAGATGTATGTCAATGTCATGACGTGAACACCCTAATCTACAGCTGCCATAATCGTTAGTTTCCCTTTGTCATTACTGTGGATTCGTGTCCCATAATCGGTTGTTTTTAGACCTCCTTTATTACTTCTTGTGCATAACTTTAAGAAGAATGTAGAAAATTTAAAAAAAAAATTATCCTTGTCTTGAGTTCCAACTGATGTGAAAGAATATGTGTTAATACTGACATACTTTAAAATGTTGAAGACACTCTTTTCTTTTCATATTTAACTTTCATCCTTACATTTTTATCGTTTAATTTCTCTCTGGTATTTTCTTCTTTACTGTCCTCCTATTTCCCTCTACCTTATGTATGAATGTTATGGCACATATGTAGATATTTTGATTGGATAGTTCCAGTGTAACTTAGCTTCAGTTTCGTTGTTGGTAATTTCCTATTAAGCCCTGTTCAGACTCAAATTTTTTTGGTAAAAAACATGTGATATGCCTAAATATGGCCAGGATGACAAGACATTATGACCATATATAGGCACATCAAGACTATATATGGGGATACAACAGTCAAAGAAAATTTGATAATGTGGATGACAGAGCTTTAGATATAAAGTCCTTCAGACCAACATCACAAGGTTTTTGAGCAAATTACATGTGGCAAACTGTGGATACTGTAATATAAGTAATATACAGTATTGGATCTATTGTCTAGATGTATATACATACTTCTCCTATCTTACAATAATTGTGCTGTGCTTCCAGATGATTTTTCTTAGTAGTATAGTAAAAATATGAAACAAGAGTTAATTATACAAGACAACCTTTGCAGGAGCTCATGACCAGGATTCCTTAATTGGGTCATCTAGAGAACCAGAGGTCTGGGGTCAATTAGGAGTAACAAGTAGGCATGGCTAAGTGGTCCAACTGGGGGTTCTGACCTAAAGAATCTGGCCAATTTTAGGCCATTTTAACCTATTTTACTGAATAAGTTTAGGGCTGGATCATAGTGCAAATCACTTCACAGCCTGTCAGCTGTGCCAGCGGTGGGGCCAGAAATTTGCCGTCAAGGGATCTGATGAAGGGGTCCAAACCTGGGGCCGACAAGTTGAGGGCCCTGAATAAAAATTCCTGGTAGGGTTTCGGGGGATAGATTTTATGGCTTAGTATGGTCTAAATTGTGCTTTTAGACCACAATTATTATGGATTAGCAATCTAAGTAACTATATATGGATAGGCAAATTTTTATTTTTGATCCGACGACCTAGTCGTGGCATCAAACGACAGGGGGATCCAAGCCTGTCCGACGGGGTGTCACCACCACTGAGCTGTGCAGGTTGGGATATCAAGCATTGCCGAGAATGGTCAGTGTGTCTGGGACTCAAAACTAAAAGGTTGAGAACCTGAAAAGCCTTTCCTAAAGGGTATGATCACTACTAGAATAGATTCATTTATGATCCCTTGTAGGTTATAGGTAGAATATAGTATTATGATCACAGATAGGAAGGATATAGATCCACTTTGATCATTAAATGGTTACAACTATAGTTTCAATGGTCAATGGTTGTGCACTTGTATAGCGCATATAACATTCGTCTCTATGCGCTCTGTTTCACTATTATATGATTTCTAATAGGAGGTCTATAGTGTCATAACAAAATATGAAATTATTTTTGGGAATTTGAAAAATTAAATACAAAATTAGAATTATTATGAATTTAATTTGAAAATTAACAAACTTTTGACTAATGCTAATTTTGTGTCAACTCTTGGGGCATAAATTTGTCAAAATTGGTTACATTTATATGTATATTTTATTTTTTTGAGGTACCACAGATATCCCTTAAGTAATTAGGTTGTCAAAGGAAAGAAGTAGTAAATTATAAATTGATTTAAATGTTGTATTAAATTATGTTACAATGCTAATTTTTTTTTTTATGCATGAATCATTTGACTGAGATGATTTTAGCAATAACATTTAGCCACATTAGATGTTTACATATATATTATATAATTAGCGTAAATTATATCATTCTGAATTTGATTAAACTTTGAGAGTGGTCTTAATCGAAACAGAAGGTCACAATTGGACCTACATTTTTTAATTTTCTCTTGGCACTGTTGGTTGAAAGCTATTTCCATTATTGTTACATTTATTATATCTGTTTATTTGAAAAATTAATTCCTTAATTGCATGTTATGAATTTAATTATTGGCTTGAATAAGGAACTTGAATGTGGTTAGAGTGGTTTTTAATATTTAATTGGAGAGAATAGATTTCTTATGCTACAATGTTTATGTGTAATAACTGATAGTTTGGAACAGTTCTGGACTCGGGCTGAACTTTGGACTCAAGTTGCAGCCCATCAGGTTGTAGCTTAAGCCTCGAACTGCAGTTTAGCGCCTGACTTCTTCTCACTCATAAATGCTTATGGACACGCTCCATATTATCTTTCTTTATCCATCAAACAACAATTTTCTTGATGTTCCACAAGACAGTCAAACTCTTTCAGGTTATCTATTCTAGAATCTATGCTCCAGTACATATTAGTACTAGCCAACAATCTTTTTGTTTTGTGCTCCAAAATTATTGAACTCTCTTCCACCTAATCTCCAATCAATTTCTGATACTGATGCATTCCAAGCTCCTTAAAACTAATCTCTTCAATAATAAGAGTGACAAATTATGTTTTTTTTAACAGGCGCTAAAGGAATTCTTCAATTTACAATTATTTATTTATTAATTGCAACTAAAGCCGGGCATACACCCAGAACATATTTCTGTTGAGCATGAGCACTGATTATTGATAGCAGTCTAAACAGGTCATTGTTGAAAACAATCCATTTGTTCACTTCTTGTACTATAATCTTAATGGATCACACTCAGCTTAAGGACTCCAGTATCGGGCAGATAAAATTTCCTTCCATTTCCTTCCACTGTCTAATGACATTAAATACCTTTAGAAAGACTTTATCTGTGGTTTTCACAACATTTGGTTAATTGAAATCAGAAAGTTTTATTTTTTTACATTTATTTGGAGACGTCATTAGTAAATATAACATTCATGACAAGAGATCCTTGAGTATGGCTGATAATTTAAACTTCACTTAACCAGTATTTATAGACACACTTGTGTCTAAGCATCAATATATGTACTTTCACTATTGTTATCAGTTTGTAATCATATTCAATAAACTGCATGTCAGCTGACCTATTCGCCAGCTTGTGTGACGTTAATCGTCCACCCACCAAACATGATGGATTTCATGTGTATTATGACATGCTGGGTCATATGACTTATCATGTGACTGCTACAGTCTTTTGGCAGTTATTCCTTAAAGATACAGTCTGGGGTAAACTGGAAAAACTTCAACTAAAAATTCAATTGTTATCAAATTTTTATCAAAAGATAATTTCCTGTATTTTTCAATTAGAATGTAATAACATATTTGTGCTCGATAATTTCTTTTTTAGGTGAAATGATGATTATGTGGTTTTTAGCGATTTAGTAGGGATGGAGAAGAGGAATGGACGCAGAAAGTTCTTAACTATCGACTGTATCTAGTGAGATAATTCTTAACTATTAAAGGTAAATATTAAAGGCATCTAATGAGAGTGGTATACTTAATGTCATTGGTTTATCTATCTCAAATTGATGAAGTACAAGGACTGTACATGCCACACACATGCTGTGAAAATGGTTGTCATTGACATTTCAGAAGATGTGATGCTATATATTTGTTTTAATGCCAATAGAGATAATATTCAGCCATATAACAATGAGTTATTATTATGGTCTGCTTTATAGACCATTTTATTTGGTGTGTTTTGAAACAGCGCCATTACGTCTGAAGATTCACTGTGGGACAGCAGGGAAAACAACAGATGAGATCCTTTTTTTTAATTACAGTATGTAAACATTAAAATAATATCTTACAATTTAGCCTTGTGTCTATTATCAGTATAGGCCTCTTTTCCCATTTTAATATATTTGTGCTCGTTAATAATTTTGTATTATAGTTTAATCAATCCCCATGATGGATTCTTAGGTTGATGACGTGCATGATGGACAAGTCTTACTCATGACCCATTTTTACTCATGGGTGGAGGGAGACAAACATGGGTAAAGTGCCTTGCCCAAGGGCACAAGTAAAATTCACAGCGAAGGTTTGAACCTCCGACCTTAAGGTTGAGAGACCGAAACCGCTGCACAATATCGCCCACAATATATATAGTAGAGTGTTGGGTGTTAGTACAGTAAGAGCCCATTGCTAATAATATTTTGTCCAGGCTTACTATTCTAAGTTAATATTAAATTAATATTAAATCTATACATAGTTATATATTAAGGCTGGGCTAGTATTCAATTCCAGAAGTTCATTGCTTATAATACAATTTAACTTAATAAATGAGATTAACCATTTTGTGCACTCTGATTTATACCATTGTCATTCAACTTCATGTGATGGCTCTCAAGTTATTTGATTTGATTGCTGTAATTTGGCATGGGCCAAAAATTAGATAATTATTAATGTTTGGCACTTGATTTTCTTGACAAAAATGACTATAAATTTAATGGAACAGGTGCTAGAATGTCATTTCGCTTATGATAAACTATATTATTTTGTAAATAATTTTTAAACAAACTGTTATTGAACATCAAATGTAATTGATCTTTTCTAATAGTTGTACTCAATCTTGAATAAAAAATAATTATAAATATTAATAGATGATTTGATTTTGTGCAACATTTTTTTATTTTGTAAAATCAAGTTTCTTTGATTGTGTGTAACCTTTAAGACATTTGTATACTGGAAAGCAACTAACTACTTTCTGTCTAATCACAGTAGATAAAAAAAAGTTGTGCAAACCTGCCTGCATAAAAAAATGTAAATAATTCCTTGTATCAACCTAAGACAAAATATCTCAACCAATCATTCTGGTAAACGCCAATACTTTTAAGTGTTTAAGACTTACTTAAGATACAGTACCCAAAAAACAAGAAGACAGAATTCAAGACATTTGTTTTAGTATTGAAGTAATGATCTATGCATGGCCTTACAAATGAGTGGAAATCTCTACATCCAACTAATACCTCAATTATTGACTTTTCTGAAAAGTTTCAGCACAAAAGGAATATCATGTACAGTTAGACTCTTTTGGGTTTAATACTGCTGTAGATGTAAAACAAGTTGGAAAGATTGTGTTACAGTGCAACACAGTTTGGCATGCATACATGAGTGAGTTTTCTGAAGGTATGTGAACTGATCTACTACCAGATGGGACTAAGGTTAGCTGGATGCGCTACCAAAACCATCTAGTTATTTAAAAATATGTATTCATGGGGTGGGGAGCAGATATGTTGGGTAGAGTGTGAAACTGGATACTGTCTACCCGTATATAATGAGTCTTTGTTCAAATTCCCTAATTTTAGGTTTAAACATTACTCTAATTTGTTTTTTATTTGTAAATGGTATATTTATTCAATCAAAGAAATTTAAAAACATAGTAGTATGGACACGAGTATGATTAAAAGGCTTAAAAACATTGTAATTGAGTTAAAAACATAAAAAGCAAAAAAATTAACAATTGTCAGTATTGCTCCTGCAATATCGTTCAGATATCTTTGAGGGTTTTAAAGGTAATATTTCACTTCTAACTTCTAAGAATTTATCAAGCTCTAAAAATGAGGATGCATCATCATAGTGATTATAATTATAAAAACAAACCACCCTCGCCCACCCCAAAAGAAAGAAAATAAAATAACATAAAAGCTTCTTGAGCTAAAAACTGTGAAAGTAAACGATTTTAATAATATCAATAAAATAATCAAATGTTACTTATGACTAGATTTTTAATTTAAAATGTCTGGCTTCGTTCCTTAAAATTTTATGAAATGGTATCGCTTCTACATTATATTCTTTGGAGACTTAAAAAGGAAATATACCCTTAGATTAAATTGTTCAATAATTGAAGCACCCAGTATATGACACAGCAAAAACCAATACTATCTTGAATTGATAGTCTTGGCAGTATACTTGATATGACATTAAAAGTTAGTAGCTAACATCGCTACTGTGGAGCGTTGAGTTCGGAAATTAAGTATTACTAGTTTAAACACTTTTAATATGCCAGCTGGATGCTACTCAAAGCTAAAAGTCTCTGAAAAAACAGGAAGGGAGTTACTGAGCATGGGTCTCCAAGGAAATCTACGTACTAGCACCTGCCAGTGGAAATTTGAAAAACCTCTCTCGCACTAACAGGAAATTGGAGATGTGATATATAACGAAGGGGCCCGGGCCCCGGGTTTGGGTAGATGCTCGGTACTAAGAATGGCAGGCTTATGATTGTTTACCTTGACCAATCATTGAAATTATTTTAATAGTTGTAAATATGAAACTTGTTGTTGATGATAATTTCCAGTCCAATCCATAATATAACTGACAGCAACCTCTATGATGTGTTTTAGTTTATTGCCTTGTATGTAGTAATAACTATAATAATAATAATCATGTTAATAATGATAATAATAAATAATAATATCAGTGAATTGGTATGGTCTCCCATGAGGGAATGGAAATCTACAAACGTCTATGTTATTGCCCTCTTGAATTCCAACGCTAATGGTGGTCTGTGGTTTTTGTAAAAAAAATAAAATGAATTAAGTACAATTCGAGACCCCTTTAATTCAAGACCACTTTTTTCAAAGAACCAAATAACAATCGTCAATCTTTTAACACAAAGCTAACCCTGTAAGTGGATGCCGAACCCCGAGACAAACAATCGTCAATCTTTTAACACAAAGCTAACCCTCTAAGTGAATGCCGAACCCCCCCCCCCCCGAGTGGATGCTGAACCCCCGAGACAAGCAATCATCAATCTTTTAACACAAAGCTAACCCTCTAAGTGGATGCCCCCCCCCCCCCCCCCCCGAGACAAACAACCTTCAATCTTTTAACACAAAGCTAACCCTGTAAGTGGAGGCTAAACCCCCAAGGCCACCCTAAATTTATAGGTCCCAAAGTGCTCTCGAATTCAAGGGCGATATGTATTTGATTTCTCAATAATTAACCAATGCATAAATACTAGTACAGAAGTTGACCCTTATGGAACTGACCATTGACCCTTAAGGAGCTGAGCTATATGCCAAGAGGTAATTTTCTTGCTTCGTGTGCAATGACCCTGCCTAACGTTAGTTTTTTAATTGGAGTCTCATTGCTTGGCTCCTTGAATATCGTTACATGGGAGTTAGCGGGCATAAGGGACTATATAGCTGTTACATATAATTACTGGCACTGCAATGTGGCAGCTTCTACTCCCTGGTGTCTCGGCCAAAATTCTCAATTTCGGACAAGTAAAAATAATTTATATTTTTCATTTATTTTAATTCTATTCAAAATAGCATTTATTAATTGTCTATAAATCAGGAAAAACTGAATTGTATCATATTTTTGTGTTAGTAATATTTAATTGTATTTTAAAGATTGTTCTACTAATATATTTTAGTGTGATTGCTTGTTTTCTCTTTTAATTCTATATTTGATCATATTTTATTCATACTTTTAAAGCCTTGAGGTAATTTTTAGCATATCTCCGATAAGTTTCATTTCATGATTTACAAATGATTGATAGTTTGAAATCCAAATTATTTTGCCTGCTGCTTGATTACAGAGATCTAAAAATAATCATTATATAAAGATTCTTGAATCTTTTAGCCCTCAGAACTTTTTTGAATGAGATCAAATGTAACCACACGTGAGCCTCAAGGGCGGGAGTAAGGCAGTCCTCTCGCAACAGATTATTCAATTAAAGTTAACTGGAGAAAGATAGGCAATTGTAAAAGAGATTAAGCCACAATCCATCTCAGAGTAAATTGTCTGAAATTTTAACAAATTAAAAAATTATGTTTGAATATTTGGATAATTTTTTTAAAAAGATCTTTAGTAGATTATGATGCTTGTTACCAATCCTGTCAGCCCCAGGTGTTAGTAGAGAAAATTTGTTGAGACCTTGCCAATCAATTCCTCAATGTAGGTCCCTTGTATTACGAAAAAAACAAAAAAAAAAACAAACAAACAGTGCAATGTAAACTTGAAACAATCTGATAGACTATAATAATGTACAACTGAAAAGATTGATTGATTGATTAGCATTAATTTTTGAACTTTAGTATAAAATTAAAATAAACCGATAGAATTAGGATATTTTACGTCATTTATTTTTCCTGTGCTGAATCCTTGTGATGCAATATTTTTTTTTGGCTTGTCTTTTATTGTATGTCCTGAGGGTCCCAATTTGTCAGCTCTGGCTGAAATGACCAGCATCACAAAATATTGTTGAAGAAATAAATGGATACTGTAAATAAATACAAGTAAAGAAATTTGACTAAGTCTAATGTGCCAGAATGCCTTTATTTCATTCATTCACTTAATAAAATTAAGGTGCAGTAATGCCTAAAATTTACTTAAAATCAGCCTGTGTTCATGTTATTCTAATTGTTTCATGTTACTGTACCATTCCAACAACATTTATTTCATTTCAATATGGCAGTCGTAATTAACATAACAGTACTGTAAATTATTTCTTGAAGAGAGAAAAAAAAATGTGTCCTCAGGCCAAAATGAGTTTTTGTTATAATGGCATAGAACATATCATTTACTTTAAAATGACAGTTAAATGAACTCAATTTGGTGTCTGGAAGCAAAGTAATGACCATTTGAATAATTGTCATCTTATTAACTTTCTTAAATCAAGTTTTGAGAAAAATGCTTTTATTTTCGGCAGGTTTCTATTCATTTTTCACTAGCTCCCATCCGAAAATGGCTAAATTTTACCTCTTACAGTTATAATTTTCAACTCAAACTCCAAGAATAGTAAGATTAAAATTTATAGTTTATTTATTACACAAAAACCCAATTCACACAAAATTCACGTTCTACGACTTATTCTGGCTATTGAGGCTTGTTTCTCAATACACTGCGGTGCGAGTTTACAGCCCTTTTGTGAGCTTGGGTCACAAATGCCAATGTTACACTAGAAGAAAATAATTTCTTGTCATGTGTAAAACCCAGAAAAAAAAAGAGAAAAACGATATATAAATCAAAAGATACACAATTAAGTAAACAAAGTTCCAGTTACAATATCAAATTTGAATAATCATTTAGAGTTTGTCTACCTTCAAGGTAGGAAGGGCCTTACAGTTTGAAAGCAATGGTTAAAAAAAATTCTTAGTGGTAATTGTGGCATGTATGGAAATGATAATTGTGCCCAAAATAGTATAATCTTGAAGTTTCCCCTATATGTGACCGGTTCTGGCAAAACCAGCTGTTTGTAGAAATATTTTTTTTTTAAATGGTTTTTGTTATTTTCAGATTCTGCATGTGATGGAAATTGGTTGAATGTTAGCAAAATATTTATTTTATTGGATATCAGCCATGTAGGTTTTGAGAACATAGCTTTTCAAATTTAATAGTTTATTATTTAGATTTGTATTTTAAAAAATAATAATAATATATATAATAATTTTAATATACTTTTTAGTTAGATTTAGTGATTGATGTTTTTTAGAAATGTTCTTTAATATTTTCTTTTATAAAATGCAAAAAAAAACATAAAAATGCTCAAAATTCTGCTTTTCAAACATTTTGGGTGCTTGTGTGAAATTAAAAATTGCGACAAACCACAGCTTTTTCCAGAGCTGATCACATATGATAATTTGTAGCAATCCCCAAGGTAAGGGGCATACAGATGGATCAGAGGGCCAAGCCCCAGCGAACTAATGATTTAACACTGAAGGGGCTGATATGGTAAAATTTGGGTGTTTCCATTGTGCTTATAAAACGTTCGCTCACTGCTTTACACCCCTTTCTGCTCAGTTTTAATGTTACCTTTATATTAGACCATAACAGCAAATTGTTAGGTGGAATTTACACTCTTGGGTTTTTGATATATTTTTGCTGGCTGCAACAAAATTTCTGTAGGGCTGTATGTGGCTTGTGGGCTGCACTTTGCCCACCAGTCCCCATAACTTAATACATGTTTCAGCTTTGAGAGTAAGTAGTTGCTGTTTGGATAACAAAAATCATAGTTTTGAATTTTTGCCTAAAATGGACTGCATAGACAATTGATTTCTACATGCAAATACATGTAGAATACACGATACTATACATTTAACAAGGATACATAATTATCAAAGATAAGAGTATTTGAAATTTATAGATCCATAATGTGTCAATAATCATTTCTCTCTAAGTTCAAAATGTCTTGCAAAATAAATATTCTGTATACTCGTTCTATAAGAAGGCAATTTTGCTATTGGATAATAACAAGTATTATTGTTGTCATCCAAAGTAAGAGTAAATTGTGCATGTGTGCCACAGCTGCAGATTCTAAAAAGTTGATTGAAGTTGATGATTGTGCTGTGCCAGCCGTGTTTTCAACTTGACATACATATTTGCCAGTGTCAGGCAGTTCAATATTGCTTATGTATAGATTGGTTACCCCCTCCCAAGGATTGTAGTCCCCTAGGATGACTCTTCCATTAGGCCTCTTCCACGTAACACTTGGCGTTGGATTCCCTGTTACATTACAAGTGATAATGATAGTGGGCGGACGCCAAAGGCTTTTTAGCTCTACTAGTGATGGGGTGCAGTCAATGGTCGGTAGAAAACATGTTTGGGGGCACGACATTGATGGCACCAAATTTATTGAATCTTGTGAATTTGTGGCATTTGTAACTTCAAAACATTCGCAACTGATTGGCACTGGTGCAAATCCGGAGCTCATGACTGGAGCATAGTCCAGGATAAATCTAGGGACAGCCCCCAATTGGTTTCTATTCAATATGAACTTTGTCAGGTTTGCTAACAAAGGTTCTTTGGTATTAGTTGGAAATAAAATATCTTCAATCTGGTTGAACTGAAGGTCAAGGGTCATTAGTCCAGGAAGTGGTAGGTGTAGATCAATTAAGGAGAACGTTGTTAAGTTATTTTTGGACAGTAGTAAATGCTCCAAATAAGGCATTTCTGCAAAAGTGCCAGTTTCTATCCTACTAATCATATTTTTACCAAAATTCAGTTTTTTTATAAATTTCAAGCCATCAAGCATTTCAGGCGAAAGTTTCCTCAACTTGGTATCCCAGCATTCCAATGTGTGGAGGTTTGATAACTTTGAAAAAGCAAATGGATCAATGTGGTGTATTTTGTTGAATGATAATTTCAATTCTTCAAGTTGAACAAGATTGTCAAATAATCCCTTCTGTATGCGGTCAATGTGGTTGTTTGATAACCAAAGTCTTTTTAAATTACTTAAACCATTAAATGCACCAGATTCAACCACCGTCAGATTTCCACTGTATAATTTTAGCACTCTTAATGAATTCAGACCACGAAAGGTGTTCCTTCGAATTATGTTAATTTTAAACGGTCTGATATCCAGAAATTCAAGATTACGAAATCCTTCAAAAGCGCCCACGTCAATATGTTCAATTGAAAATGTGTCCAGTTCTAGTATCGTGAGATGTGGTCGTTGTGATTGGAATAATTCCTTTGTGATATTGACAGGCGGTCCTTGATGGATACTGATGGCATTCAAATCACCCCATTCCTTGAATATTCCAGCCGGAAGTGAAGTTCCAGTCGCTATGCCGTCAAACTGAATATTTAAATATCCAGGACAAGGATTGGATAGGGGGATGCATGGTGCATATGGGCACACACATACAGACTTCTGGAACCTGTCGAGGATACGCTCTTCACTCTTGTAGCAAATGTTTACCAAGCTGCAATCCTGACAGTAACAACCAAATATTGAATACAGTATCAATATGACTATTATTCCATTAGGTACCATAACTGAAACAAAATGAATACAATATCAATAAGATTGCACTATTTAATTAAATTGATTAAGTTAATATTCAGTGGCGTATCTAGAGGTCTTGAAATGCGGGTGCTGATGGGGGGGACGCGAAGGTGAATTGGGGGGGCTCGATGATTAGTTGAGGGGCGCTAATTCGCAAAATGAGTTGATCTTTAACTACTTGACTGTGATTTTTTGGGGAGGCGACTGCGGGGGTGGGGCGCAAGTAAATTTAGGGGGGCCTGCGGCCCCCACGTGCACCCCCTAGATACGCCACTGTTAGTATTGTACGTTTAGTATAACTTAATAAAGCATTAGGATGTGCACTGACTTTAGTACAAATAGTATGAATGTCATTATATATGTTATATGTTATAGTATGAATGTCATTATATATGTTATATGTTATAGTATGAATGTCATTATATATGTTATATATTATAGTATGAATGTCATTATATATGTTATATGTTATAGTATGAATGTCATTATATATGATATATGTTATAGTATGAATGTCATTATATATGTTATATGTTATAGTATGAATGTCATTCCAAAAAATGACATCATTTTATTCAATGTTTTGCTTTTATTTAAGCATCATCAAGAATGTTGATGCTTAAAAAATGGCCTTGTCAATTTTTGGAGTGACATTCATACTATAAAGCATTAAAATGTCAATTTTAATAAACCATACATTATAGTTACTGGAAGTAATTTTTCTTTGGACTTTCATGAGTTTTTCTTGGTGTTTACACTGAATATATCCAATCCAATTTGTTTAATAAATTGTACATGTTTTATTGTAATGACAATACTGAATCTAATCTTCATACTGTAAGTGAATCTTTATATTAGCCTTTTTAAAGGCTAATACATCATGTTAACACTTAAAAGTGTTAACATGATAAAATCGTATTTTGGATCTAGAAAGTTTATCTGTTTTGTCAACTTCTAAAATAAGGATAATGATAATGATATTAAATTATGATGATAATGTTATTTGGTGTAGCATCAATTAAGTATCAAGAGGACAAAAACAGGTTTCTTTCAATATATAATCTTTTCACTACAGTTATCCAATCCATAATGTAAATATTTATTCAACATTATATATACATAATTATTATTTTAATTATTCATTTTATTTTACATAATGTCCTTCAAATCTACATTGTGTTTGTGATAGAACTATTTATTTATGATTCAACACATAATTTCAGAGTAGGTCTATCTATAGTGCACTGAAATTTAAAATCTGTTTTTTCTTAATGAAGTTTAATTTGGATTGAGTTGAAATTTATGGACAAATTCCTGATTATTAAAAATCCAATGCAAATGACAAGCTAGATAGGCCTTGCACAATAGTTACTCATAACAGGAAGGTCTCTACAACTAAGACTTATTTTGTCTACAGATAAAAATATTCCATAAAAACTTATAAAATTATTATTTTACAACTAAAAACAGAGTGTTACATTACCTCTTAATATTGAGTAAACCAGGGTAGGATGCAACTCAAAAATTGCGAAGTTTGGTGGTGGTTTCTCTCGAATAGCACTGTAATAACTTCCGTCAGGTCAGCAGTACTGTACTCTGTTTGACATACTTAGCTGTTGCATTAGTTCCCGTGTGTCATACCAAATTTTTTGCTTTCTTTTACGTGTCACACAGACTTTTTTTGCTGTCTTACTACTTAATACACAGAAGTTCATCAGCAACACAGAGGGATTTGGTATTTAATGAGGTGACTTCCACATGACTCGAAAATTGTAACTGTATTAAGTGTTCTGACCATGTGATTGGTTTTGATTCAGGATGTCGTGATGGTCAGGAAGGAACTCATTTTTGTCATCAATCATGCAATTTGATCAAGAATTATTAACTAACGAGTATCTTTTATCAAAATTTGAATAATTAATTGATGAATATCATTATAACAATTTGAGCAATTAATAAATATGAATATTTATTACGAAAACTAATAACTATATCATAAATATTATCAAAATTTGTATAATTAACTCATGAATATCTTTTATAAGAATCTGATTTTTATAATGGTTTTTGTTTTGCATGGTTTTTAAACTGAAATTAATGGGATGAGATTAGATAAGGGTAAAGAGAGCTGCTTTTTGAAGTTTAAACTCATTTGCTATGGTGACGGCTCAGTGTGTGTCAGATACATTTGACCAGTGACATCTCCAGTTTGGTGGCTGCTGTATACTCATACCATACATCAGTTTATTTCTAAGCATGTATTCCGCCTACCCCCTAACTGTTATCATAGACATTGAAGGAAAAAGATGTTTGATAGGAATATAACAGTTGCTTTTAATATTTTGTCTATGGATGAAAGATGATGATAATGATGTTTAGTGTGATTTCACTATAGTTTGTTGTACTTATTAGGCATTATTTTCACATCCTACATCTTAAATGTTTACCCTCCAACATCTATAGTAAACCTCTTATCCCTTATCCCTTATAAAGGAAGTGCTTAATATGAAAGCCATAGGAGACGTACTGTACTTTAAAAAAGAATCACGATTTTTCATTTATGTTAGAGAGCCCTTAATATCAGACAACTTTCTAGGATAAATTGAAGGGTCACCCTATATGGTATTTTAAAAATAATAATAAAGAGGGATACAACACAAAATGCAATTTGTCTGAAGTAGAAATCTTTTGAAGGATTTTTCGGTTTTGATCTTGTTCTCTACTCACAGGTTGTCTCTCTTGAGCATACCCTATCCCAATATAGCACTTTTACTTTAAATAGCAATAATTATGTAAAACCTGTCAACTGTGTAAACTGTCACAGACATCAAATCTATTATTAGGCTTACATCTTAAAGCTATGACTTAAGTAATTCGCTAACATACAAAAAGAGACTGCAGTGGTACTGGACTGCAGCCTGCAAATTCTAATTTATTGCAATCAATTAAAACTTAATTGGCTAAAACGATTAAACAGTACTGAAAAATTAAAATAATTACATCAACAATTTGAATGGTGTGCATTTCAATACTTTCTTATCTGAGATAAATCAGTGGACCTTTCAATTTCTATTTAATTATTTTATTTACACAAATTTCAATTTTAATTATATTATATATCAATGATAAGCTAATAGGCTATATATAAGATAAAAAAAATCATTACTGCATTACCTAGATCCATCCTGCAGATATTTGATGAAGTATAATCAGATAACAGGCATTTAAAGTAAAGTAGAGTAACTCATTGTGGTGTACTGGGAAGTAAACTGGAAGACAATCCACTGCCCTTTTCTGATTGGTGTAGGAATGTGTGTTCACAGAACAACGGCTTAAATATTTCTTTAAAAAATTGATGCAATTCACAGTTGAACCAGGGACACAATTATCTCCATGGTTCAACACACAGTGGTTGCCGCCAGTTATATCCGAATGATAGGTTATATCCGAATGATAGGTTATATCATAACAGAAAAACCTAATACCTAAAAACATATGGAATTCGAAACCTACCATTCTGAAAAATAACAACATACAACTATTAAATAATTTTAATTACTAAATAGGACATTGTTTGTACCCTAATTAAGAAATATCTATTAGTGAATGTATTTTATAATATGAACAAAAAAATTAGCCTGTGGTGAAAGCTGAAAAATGCTTGATTAATGTTGCATAGTTGTCGCCAATCTGTGGTCAGACTCAATTCACGATCTTTTTACATACAGTAGCTTATGTATATTCCTATTCAATTAAATGTGTGTCTATACTATTTCCTATACTTTTTAAACAACCTTAATACTATAACCTTTCTAATAATCTGACATGTTGTTAAAACTAACAGGGAAAGTGATTATTTTGACAGTTGGGGTTGATTGATGAGTTGGTGAATGATTGATTGAAGGAGTTGTTATTACCTCGCCTATTTATAATTACTTTTTTTTTTATAAATAAAATACTGCGTAGATATAACTGGTGCTATCTGAGGAACAGGCCTATCGGGCAGACACACAACCGTAGGTGTATGTGGTCATTAGCATTCCTATCAGCAAGGAGCCGCAAATTGAAATGTCATTGTCTGAGACAAGTTTTTAAGTGCGATTATATTTTTTAATTTGTTAATATCTAGAATTTATAACTTGAAATAAATCAAACATGCCTAATTTTTAATAAGTCAGCGATGTAAGTATTAATAATATTTGTTTATTATTATTAATTCTGTAAGTTGTTTTTTTCTAATTTCTTTTGCCAGATAACTTCTTTATATAAGTTAATGGGTATTTGTCTTTCAAAACTGAAAATATGTTTGTGAACATTAAGACAATTAAAATTTTGTAAAGTTTTATTTGATTGTAAATTGTGAGCAATTTAGCCAAGGTTCAATGCAATTCTTCTTTTTCATTTTTATGTGTTTATAGTTATACAATGAATGAATGAATTAGTTTCAAATGTCTATAAGACTCTATAAGAATTATCTCAACCCTAAACATAGAACACATGTAAAGAAAAATTTTTTTTTACTATTTATTGAACCACTTTAAAAGCAGAAACCAATATGCCACTTACAAAATGACTAACATTTAAACATAGGTGACAAACAGATAGGCTAATTACTGATAAGTTAATTTTTTTTTAAATAAATAAAATAAGAACCCATTATTATTCCTCAAGTGATGGTTAGAAACTAAATAACAACCGAATTCAGAAAAATAGGTTCATTATAATGTCTGCGGGACAAGGGAGAAGAAGTTGGCAACTGAAGGGTTTTGGTGGTTTATGTGGTTGTGACTGGTGTAGCACTGAAAATGGCAGTGAAGGCATGGGGTGCGCCAAATTAGAAATACAATAATAAAGCTTGAATGACTGAAATACATAAATACAGTTTAGGATACGCATCGAGGTATTAACAATAGTCACATCAGTCCAATCTTATTATAAAACTAGACACAATTAACTAATAGAAATTGTAACAAACGTGAGGGTTATTTTAATTGATACCAATATGCACTTTTAGTTTACAGGGGTATATATTACCTATACTGTTTTTATTTTAGGTATTGCAGCTTATTTTAACATATTAAATGTTGTGTCTGGCTTTCTAATGTATACTTGTTTGACATTAATATTTCTTATCTTTATGAAACACATTTAAGTTGTTTACAATTTATAATGTTAATTGCTGCTTTTATTTTCATGTCTCCTCGTCTTCCAGTATACTTATTTCTTGAGTGTTAACATTTTTTTATTTATTAACTAAAATTACTTTTTCATTTATTAATGATGTGGAAATATTATTTAAATACATTTTTTTTAAATGAACTTTTTTATTTAGTAATATTGAGGGTGCACTTCCTTAATTAATATTATTGATGTTAATGTTATTATTATTGTTATTACTACTATAAAATCTTGCGTGGAAGTCTTACTTACCGTACCCTCTGTTCATAATTAATTTTATGCTTTAACACAACAAGGCTACACTCATTGTACATTTCTCTATGTAGAAAGTTCACAATTTTGTTGTGTATTTCTTTCACTTCATTTAAATTGGAAGGCACAAACACTTAGAAATAAAATAAATGCTTAAGTAGTACTTTAAGTAGGAACATTTACCAATGCTTTAGTTGCATTCAATATGAATATACTGTCACCCCTGGACCTCTCGCTTTCATAATAACCCCCTCTGCTTAAGGAACCCTAGTTAATACTCTACATATCATCATCTTTAAGTCAAAAGGAATTAATCATCTCATTTTGGTGGGTGTGCATGCAGTGGCGGCGGGCGCCAGCGGGGGGGGGGGGAGCAGGGGCTTAAGCCCCCTACCGGACAGGTCAAGCCCCCCCACCTATCGGACAGAGCTCGTTGGGCAGTCAGACTAAAAAATATATAAAAATAGGCCCACGCCAAGCCAACACATATCTGTCACAATCAGAGAGTGTCATTTCTGGCCATCCAGAGGTTCCTATTCTTTGAAAAAAATCTCATTTGGGAAGGGAAACACCCTCTCAAACAGGGGTGGCGCCAGAGGGGCTATAGCCCCCCGTCGGGGAAGCAATGTCCCCCCCCCCCCGTCGGTGAAGCAATAAAAATTCGCCATAATTCATCAAATATCCGTGGCTTCCAGGGGGGGGGGGGGGCGAAGCCCCCGACCCCCACCGGGGGCCCTAGGCGGCCCCCCTGGCCCCCAGCCAAGTGAGACTCGATTCCCTCCACTAGCCCCCCGTCGGGGCCTTTAGCCCCTCCGTCGGGCAGGTCCTGGCGCCACCCCTGCTCTCAAACCCTTTCCCCCAGCTCGGGCTTACAAGCCCAAGTCCCCTGTCGGACAGCTCAGCCTCCCTCCCCCAGAAAATATATCCTAGAGCCGCCACTGTGTGGATGGCTAGAGAGCCAAACTCTTGAATATCCTGCATAGATGTATGTAAGCATTATATAACCAAAATGGAACCCTTGTGTGTTTACTTGCAAGCTAGTCAAGTTCAATGATTGTAATACTTTGAAACCTGTTGATAGACATAACTTTGCAGGTACTTAAGTTTGCAATTTAGCAGGAAATGATTGCTGTGAAAACAGGGAGTTAAAAGTATGGTGTGGGATCTCAAAATGAATCAACAAATTTTATATGAATTATGTCTGTTTTCAATTATCTTCAAGATATATTTAGTTTTTCCTAATAAGGGCATGATTTTGTTTTCTCTGTAGTATTTGTTGATCTATTTAACATTATTAAATTATGTCTAATTCTATGTCTTATACTTTATGTAA